ATGGTTCTGTAGCGTCACACTACCACTAAAATGCTAACTTTATTTTTGCTTGACATTCAAATTTGCTTGCTGATCTACAACATAAGTGTGACAAAAATGACATTATTTCCCTGAGATGTAACAAAGATGTTTTAAAAAGTACTTGATATGAAACAGTGGTGCCCATAGAGATTTTAACATAAACATGTTTGGAAAAAAAAAAAATTGCACATCTTGTGTTTTGTTGATGCTTCGTTCTCATCATTATTGTTGGCTTTCCTGATAGAGATTAGTAAAAAGTGCTGCAATAAAAACAGGATCCTTATCTCACACTAAAATGTTTAGAAAATTACAACTTTTGTTATTCAGAAAAGAAGAAAATCCTACATTTTGACATTTTTTAAATAAAACCTGCTTTTGATGGTATGAAACCAGTGACAACTTGCTTTCAGTTTTCTGGCAGAAGGTGCAAATGTCATAAAGTGAGGTGATGGAGGTGGTGAGGCAGACGCTGGAGACCCAGGTAAGTGAACGGTGGTGTAATTTAATAACAAAAAATCCACAAAAACAGTCCAAACAGTAGTCCGCGGCCAGGCAGCACGGCTGAGCAGAAGCCAGGGCTCACACCGGTAGCAACTGGTCTTAAGGGCGGCACAAAAAACAACAACGACAATCTGACAATCTGACAACGACAAACGATGACAAGGACCCGACCAGGAACAAAGGACACAGGAGGGACTAAATACACTGAGGGTAATCAGGAGAACAAGACACACCTGGGAACAATCAAGGGGAAGACAGGACAACTAGGAGAACTCAGGACACAGAAACTCAGAATTAAACACAGAAAAACACAGAACCTGACAGTACCCCCCCCTTAAAGGGCGGCTACCAGACGCCCAAAAACAAAATCCAAAACCCAAAAACCAGGGTGGGCGGAGGGGCGACGGAAGGAGGGCCAGAGTCCAGAAAACAAAAAACTACCCACAAAAGGTGGGCGGAAACACAAGGAGGGGCCAAGAGTCCAAAACTAAACAGAAAGAGGGAAGAGGCGTCGAGGGGGGTCGGCGCCCGCGGCAGACCCCACGGGGGAGGTCCGGAGGGCGTCCTCGGCGCCCGCGGCAGACCCCACGGGGGAGGTCCGGAGGGCGTCCTCGGCGCCCGCGGCAGACCCCACGGGGGAGGTCCGGAGGGCGTCCTCGGCGCCAAGGAGCACTAGGGGACTCGGGAGGAGCACTAGGGGACTCGGGAGGAGCACTAGGGGACTCGGGAGGAGCACTAGGGCACTCGGGAGGAGCACTAGGGGACTCGGGAGGAGCACTAGGGGACTCGGGAGGAGCACTAGGGGACTCGGGAGGAGCACTAGGGGACTCGGGAGGAGCACTAGGGGACTCGGGAGGAGCTAGGGGACACTGGAGGAGCACTAGGGGACACTGGAGGAGCACTAGGGGACACTGGAGGAGCACTAGGGACACTGGAGGAGCACTAGGGGACACTGGAGGAGCACTAGGGACGGAGGAGCACTAGGGATCGGGAGGAGCACTAGGGATCTCGGGGGGAGCACTAGGGATCTCGGGAGGAGCACTAGGGATCTCGGGAGGAGCACTAGGGATCTCGGGAGGAGCACTAGGGATCTCGGGAGGAGCACTAGGGATCTCGGAAGGAGCAGAGTCCACGGAGGCCGGAGCGGAATCCGGCGGAGCAGGAGCAGGAGCCGGAGCGGAATCCGGCGGAGCAGGAGCAGGAGCCGGAGCGGAATCCGGCGGAGCAGGAGCAGGAGCCGGAGCGGAATCCGGCGGAGCAGAGTCCACGGAGGCCGGAGCGGAATCCGGCGGAGCAGGAACGGCAGCCGGAGCGGAATCCTTCGGAGCAGGAACGGCAGCCGGAGCGGAATCCGGCGGAGCAGGAACGGCAGCCGGAGCGGAATCCGGCGGAGCAGGAACGGCAGCCGGAGCGGAATCCTTCGGAGCAGGAACGGCAGCCGGAGCGGAATCCGGCGGAGCAGGAACGGCAGCCGGAGCGGAATCCGGCGGAGCAGGAACGGCAGCCGGAGCGGAATCCGGCGGAGCAGGAACGGCAGCCGGAGCGGAATCCGGCGGAGCAGGAACGGCAGCCGGAGCGGAATCCGGCGGAGCAGGAACGGCAGCCGGAGCGGGGTCCGGCGGAGCAGGAACGGCAGCCGGAGCGGGGTCCGGCGGAGCAGGAACGGCAGCCGGAGCGGGGTCCGGCGGAGCAGGACGAGGAGCAGAGGCTGGAGCTGGGGCTGGGCTGGCGGAGCGGATGTCTGGCCTGGGAGGCAGAGGTTTAGCATCCCAAGCCGCGAAGGCTGTCTGGCGTATCTCCTCTGCCTCCCGCTGCAGCTCCACCAGCGCGGGGTGCTGGAGACGTGGAACCCAGTAGTCCAGCAACATACCCAGGCGTATGGCGAACCCTAGACGTCTGAGGGCGAACGTGGACGTGCTCTTTGAATCCTCATACTCCTGGATCGTTCGGAGCAGCTCCTCTACACCCTCTGGGTCCATGATGTTAAAACAGCGAGCCTCACCGTATTCGTGGTCGGGTCCTTCTGTCATAAAGTGAGGTGATGGAGGTGGTGAGGCAGACGCTGGAGACCCAGGTAAGTGAACGGTGGTGTAATTTAATAACAAAAAATCCACAAAAACAGTCCAAACAATAGTCCGCGGCCAGGCAGCACGGCTGAGCAGAAGCCAGGGCTCACACCGGTAGCAACTGGTCTTAAGGGCGGCACAAAAAAACAACAACGACAATCTGACTGACAATGACAAACAACGACAAGGACCCGACCAGGAACAAAGGACACAGGAGGGACTAAATACACTGAGGGCAATCAGGGGAACAAGACACACCTGGGAACAATCAAGGGGAAGACAGGACAACGAGGAGAACTCAGGACACAGAAACTCAGAATTAAACACAGAAAAACACAGAACCTGACAGCAAAATGTTTATTTAAATTCAGTTTAAAGGATTCGAGACAATGTTCCCGAGAGTTTCTGGAAAAGAAGCAGCCCACAGCATCACAAATCCACCACCATGCTTAACAGTGGAGTTCAGGGACTTTTTTTTCAGCAGACCAGCTGTATGTTTGTTGCCAAATAAAAACCCCAGTCTTATCTGACTACAGCAAACAGATCCTTTTAAGAGTGTATAAAAATTGTGTTCTTATATTTGTTTGTTTTGATAAGTCAGAAACAGTTAAGATTTTATTTATGTTGCATTGTTCATACACAAGGCAATATGAAGCACTTTATATGACACCAGAAAGGACAAAAAGGAGTATTTTCAAGAAAATTGACAGATAGATGGATCTACTGTGACACTGGGTAAGGCTGGGTGAAAAGTCAATTTCTTGTCTTGGTTTGATTGAGTTCATAAAAATATTTTCTCTTAGATAATGCTAATTTCCCCACACTCTTTACCAAATGACTGTAGTAACATTAAAAGGTTTGAGTTTTCAAAAGATTTTCAGTGTGAGATCATGCAGCTGAAGCAAATGATAAATTGACTTTTACACGTCTCCACCGCGGCTGCTAATCAGCTTCACAGATGTCACATCCTGTAAAGTTAAGAGTTCTAATTCATTTAGTTTCATTTAAGCGAACTCAACGCGCTAAATGATAGCAGTTTTAGTAATGCGCCTCAGTGCAGGATGTGTTTATGTGAGTGTCTCCTGCGAGTTGACAGAGCTGAGGCTTTTCCCTGCTCTTCGCGTAGCAAAGTCCTCGTCTTCCCAAAGGGCTGTGAGGCTTGTCATGGCTGATCCCTGCACTACAGCAGAACAATGCTGATGCCGTTTTAATCGCGAGTTAATAAATCCCTATTATTCAGACTGGTTTTTGTTGTGTTTATTTGCCTGTAATTAGCTTTTCATGCTTTATGTGGTTTTCTAATCCCAGACCCAAAAGGAGACCCGTAAAAAAAAGAGGAAAAAAAAAAAAAAAGGTTTCCGAAGGGAGAAAGTGCGCTCGTGTTACAGGAGCATTATTCATCCAGCTGGAAAGTCAGAAAGGATTGAGAGTCAGCTTACTATAAGCGCAGGCTGCATTTAGCACAGAGCATGCATGAGTAAGCGCCCGGCGTTTATACAAACAGCACAAGGTATTGTTGTGGAACAGGTGGGCACCGTCCATACAGTCAGTGTAATCCGTCACATATATTCAATGTTTACATCTAAAAAAAGAGAAAATAAAGAGCATCTAGAGGGTTAATGATGACGCAGATTTAACAAAAGAGCAAACAAAGTCCCTCGACATCTATTAGACGCTTTTCCTGGACATGTTGCGTTGTGTGAATGGTTGATTTTATCAACTCATTTGTGTTGGGCACTAAATGACAAATAAAATAAAATAAAATCTTTGCATTGACTTAAAATACCTAAGAAGCTGACTTCCCATGGAGGCTCTGTCAGAGCGCCTCCTTCTGTCAGTGAGGGACTTGACTCCTGTAATTACACTGTAAAAATAAATGTATGGTATAATTATCAGCATTTGTGGTTGCCAGAATTTTACTGTATTTTTACAGTAAATTTTTGCAGTATTTAAAACGTTCAATAATTTCAATTTTCCAGATTTTTACTGTATAAATACAGTTTGAATACAGATGCTGGTATTTTACTGTAAATTAAACTTATTTTTTTATTTTTTTACAGTGTAGGATTAATTTAGTTTAAAAATGTTTGATTTCTAGGAAATGATCTCCCATCTGCATGAATAGCAACCAGTTCTAACTTTTTATTGTGATAAAAATAACATAAAAAAAAAAAACTTGAGAAAATAATATAATAATGTACCAGAATATTCAGGTTTTCTTCTAAAGTCAGGGTGGGTGTAGAGATCATTCTTTTCTCTGACGTACAATACACGTCGAGGACACATTTCTTTTTAAAAGGATGCCACTTTTGGGAGATGACATTTCATCGTCTGTTGTCAGTGGTTTCAATATTAAGGAAAAAGGAAAACACAGCATGATGGTAATTAATGTTGATTGTGTGTCTCAAACAGGGGGTGGCCATCATCTCCCTCTTCTTCATCCTGGTGTCCATCACCACGTTCTGCTTGGAGACGCATCAGGCCTTCGACGTCAAACAAAACATTACAGAATTCGTCAAAGAGGGAAATATCACGCGAGAGGAGATCAGGGAAGAGATCGTCACCAGCCCAAAGCTCATCATGGTGGAGGGAATCTGCGTGGTGTGGTTTACCTTTGAGTTCCTGGTCCGAATCATCTGCTGCCCACGCAAACTGGCCTTCATCAAGAACACACTCAACATCATTGACTTTGTGGCCATCCTGCCTTTCTACCTGGAGATGAGCTTGAGGGGTCTGTCGTCCAAGGCGGCCACCAACGTGCTGGGTTTCCTCCGCGTGGTGCGCTTTGTGCGGATCCTGCGGATCTTCAAGCTCACGCGTCACTTCGTGGGCCTGCGCGTGCTGGGTCACACGCTGAGGGCCAGCGTCAACGAGTTCCTCCTGCTGGTTATCTTCCTGGCATTGGGAGTGCTCATCTTTGCCACCATGATCTACTACGCCGAGCGCATCGGATTCACCTACACCTCTGGTAAAAACAACCCCGAGGTTAAGAACCACTTCAGAAACATCCCCATCAGCTTCTGGTGGGCCGTGGTCACTATGACCACGCTGGGCTACGGGGACATGTTTCCGCAGACGTGGCTGGGCATGATGGTGGGGGCGCTGTGTGCGCTGGCCGGCGTGCTGACCATCGCCATGCCCGTTCCGGTCATCGTCAACAACTTCGGCATGTACTACTCGCTGGCTATGGCGAAGCAGAAGCTGCCGAAGAAGAAGAAGAAGCACACCCAGAACCCAGACGCGCCGACCGACTCCGCCTCGTTTGTGAAGTCGGAAACGAACTCGCACATCGACAGCACCCAGAGCGACACGTGCCCCCTGGCGGCGGAGGAGAGCAGCAGCAGGAACCGCTCAGGTGAGGCCAAGATTTCACACTAAAGGGCCAGTTCAACCAAAATGCACTGCAGTTGATTTTCTTTGATGTTTGGAGCTCACTGCCTCAAAGAGCTCAGAGGTTTTGATCGGTGCTTCTGTTAATAGATAGTGTTTTTTCAATACTATCCTATCTGCAGTAGATCACAAGATATAGCAAATTTCTTGTAGTATGAATGTCTACATTGTAAATATTGCAAATTAATGCCCAGACTATCATACCTTTATGTTTCCTATGTCTGTTGGTCACGCTTGTTTGATGCAGCAGTAAGAAGTGGAGATTCATTAAGAAACTACAAGCAGGTCGATGCCGAGAGAGAAGTTGTGCGGTAGCAATTATTTCTTATTCGTTGTTGAGATGAAAATAATCAATCACTTTATTTTTCTGTGGATTATATTTAATGTAAGTCCAAAGCAGAAAGATGTGAAACAGTCTGAAGCGTGATGATAGTCTGAAGGGGCCATTTCACCATCCCAACTCCAGTCTCAAAAACAGTGATATCAGTCTGTCTGCTTCATAAATCTGCAGCCCTGAGTGGTTATTTACTGAGAATTTGAGGGTTACTTTCACAGGAAATAGAGGTAGAAAGCGATGTGACACTGGTGATTTCGATAACTCCCGAATAAAAAAAGAATGTTTTAACTTTCTTCAAGGGTTTTATGATACTAATATTATAAAAAAAATTCTGGACAGTCCCATTAAAGTACCACACAGGTTGAAATTGGATCTGTTTTGTGCAAGTAATACATTATGTCTGATCCTGCAAGGAAGAAAATCTACCTGGTTTCTGAAACATATTGCCAGTAGGGACAACTTCTTTTAACTTTTTGCTAGACTCAGATTGTTGTGTCTGATATTGTTACGTAATATGAGACCTGAAACTGCAATGTGCCACATTTCATGCTAAATATTCCCAAAAATAGGTTGTGTTTTCAGAAGCTCTCCATCAATCAGGTAGTAGAAAGAGAAATCAATAATTGCAAAATATTTGCAAATTATCTTCCATCAGATATTTGAAAACAATTTTTCGAAAAGCCAATCTGTTCCTCTTTTGTTCTAGTTTAGTTGTTTTGTTCATTGTTTAAGCAAATTATTAAAGCATGTTCAGGATTCTTTATTTCTCCACCTGAAAACAGGAGACTATTCATGATGAATACTATGCATCTTCTAATACTACAAAACCCCTGTGGTTGGCTTTTACATTCCAGAGACGTTGCATTTTTGTGACAGAGTCTCTGCGTTTAGTCATGTAGACAGAAATCCACCACGATCAAATTACTGCCCATAACATCTCAGTCAAATTGGATTTCATCACAGCAAAAACGCTGCTTTTTATGCAATATACTTCAGCCACGGTCTGGATCCATGGGGAATCCTTAATAATAGCGTTGGCTTTCTTGTCACTGTGTTTTCGTCTCCACGTCAGACTCCAAACAGAACGGGGATGCGAATGTGGCCCTTTCAGACGAGGAAGGCTGCAGTCTGACCCAGCCGCTGTCCCCCAGTGAGAAGTGGTCGCTGCACTGCTCCAGAGGACGAGGCAAGAACAAGGAGGGCACCTGCTTCATCCTGACGTCTGGAGAGCCAAGCATCCATGTCGGTGGGTCACGTCACCACCACAGCTTTAGTTTAATTTAGTTCAGTTCAAGGAAATCCAATTCAATTAAATTTAAATTTACTAATCCTGCTCAAATCAAGTTATTTAGTTAAGATTTAGTTCACTCTTTCCAAAATGCAGTTCAGTTTAATTAAGTTTAGTTCGGTTTTTATAAGAAACAGTTCACTTAAATTAACTTTGAATCCATTGTGTCTTTACTGTTGGTCTTTGATTATTCTTATTATAATTCCCATATTTGGAAATCAAAGCTTGTTATAATTAAACAAAGATGTTGGCATCTGATTGCAAATGAAACAGATAATTAATTAATAAAATATTAGTGATTGTGACGTCATTTTTTTGAAAACAATGTTTGATTTTCAAAAATAAATTATAATTTACATTTCAACAAAAAAACGTAATGTGAAAACATATTTAGCAATCAAAAGAAAGCAGACATTAAACACGTAACTCCTGTCTCAAAATATCTTGATTGGTTGTTGTTGAATTGATTTAAAATCTTTATTGCTCACATTTAAAGTGATCTGGCTCCGTCTGATTTATGCACTCTTCTCTCAGCAGCCACATACCTTTAATAGCCCTGCTGCCAACCAGACAGCTTTTCCTCGATGTTCCCAGATTAAAGTTAAATCATAAAGGTGATCTACATGCCCACAATGCTCAGCATAGACTCATTTAAATATTCTTTTAAAACTTACTCATTTTTCACAATCTTTGACTGCTAAATAGATTTTGGAAATCCTAACAAACTTGTTTTTATTGCAGTTTTATACCATTTTCTGTTTTATGATTGTCAGCTCAGCTATTAAGGACTTTGTCAACCGTTGTTTTAAATGTGCTAAGTAAATAAATTTGACATCTACATATTTTGGTAATCTCAACTCCTCCATTAAATGTCAGAGTGAAAAAAAAATCTCATAAATATTTGAATTCAACTCTGTCTGCCAAAACTGATGCCACTCCCCCCCCCAGCATGTTACAACATGTCACCAGCTTGCAACAAACAGCATTAATCAACACTCAGTGAGTGATGGAGCTTTCAGGAAATACATTCAAGTGCAAAGTCCATTTAATGGGCTGTTGGAAAAAAAAACATGCAAACTCTCTCGGGCCCCCAGCTGTAGTAAGTGCTCCATTTATGAGGCCTGTTTTTGTTTCTCCGAAAGCAATAAGGCTAATGACCTCTCTGAGTGAAATGCGATTTAGCAAAGTGCAAAAAAATAAAATAAACTCAGAAATGTAAGGCATTCTGGGGGAGTTTGGTGATGCCAGAAAAAATGGTGGGATCTCTGTTTTAAATGAGAGAGATGCTGTCAATCTGAAATAAGTAACAGGAAAAAAAAATCTTGTTTTGTTAATTGAGAAAAAGATGTAAAGGAAAGAGAAAATTCACAGATTACCCTCTACTTTTAGATCGTCTTCCCTCCTTCGTCTGAAACTAGTAAAGTGAGCATCTTCATGCGGCTGCAGCTTCCTGTCTGAGGAAAGTTGTCCGACTTTTTTTTCTTTCAGTTGATAAGATTCGGGGATGTCTTGCATGTTTATCCTGTTTCTGAAGTTTCTGACGAAGCAACTTATCTTCCGATTTCTAGTGATTAGCAAGCCATTAGTGGATTTACTGGCATGGTTCAGGACATTGTCATGTTGCAAGGTGAGGCTCATCAGCTGCTACAATCTTTTTTCTCAAGGTCTTTTCACCTCACCATAGTGTTTGCTCTGCTGTCAGTCCAGATAATAACAAAATAAACCGTCCCTATCGTTTCACATGACTACATGTGCTTGTTTTTAAATCCTAATACTACACTGTATGGACCTTTTCCCATTCTGGCATGAGAAACATTAGTTTTCATGAGCTCAGACAGCTAGATGATGCAATTAAAGCTCCAAAGCTTTTTTATTGATTTTCTATTGATCTGAAATATAAAAAATGACACAAAGCTCCCTGTAGTGACTCCTGGCAGCAGCAGCGCTTCCTCAGCTCACGCTGACGACGCTGTTGTCCCCATCAGCTTAAACTGAACTAAACTCAAAAAGCCTGGAGCCCATTTTGATAAAAGAATTGAGTGGAGATGATTATTTGAGGTGTTTAATATCTGTAATCCCAAAAAAGGCTTTTCCTTAGATTGCTCAATATGTTGCTCACGTTACTGTTTTTTAACAGCTGCTTCGTTTCGACGTATTTCCACACCCTGCAGTGATGATTAATTTATGAAGAGTTCCAGTCGCCCAGGTGAGAGGTTATAAAAACATGAACCACCTTCTTCAGATCCTTAAAGGAGAGAAGAGGCTTTTCTATCTGTGGACGTTATTGCAGACCTCCATAAGTCTGGCTCGTCCTTTGGCACAATTCCCAGATGCTCGAAGGTCTAACACTCACCCATTCGTACGGTTTTATTCTGCCACCATGGGAACGTCCAGCAGTCGGTCCAGGCAGGAGACATGTCCTGTGTCCCAGAGAGGAACGGCTGTGAGTGTGAAATGTGTCAAATAGACACAAGAACAAAAGCAAAACACCTCATGAGCTGAAGCTGATGAGATTCTCGTTATTCTATACTGACATGAGCTGAAAAGCCCTTCAGCAAGGAAGAAGCCATTACTCCAAAAACAACACAAAAAGTCAGATCAGAGTTTGCCAAAGATGCTAATTATTGGAGAAATGTTCTGTTATGAAGTCTTTGAAATTGAAGTGTTTGGTCATAAAGATGCTGTGCCTAAAGGTGAGCTTGAGCAATGTGGCCTGCAGCCCTGACTCACGTCCTGTCTGGAGGAATGAGACCAAATTCCAAATATCAAGTGCTAAAGAACACATGTAAACTTCTTAATTTGAAAAACTTAACAAACATAAATAATTTTTGAAAACCTAACGGAACAAAAACAGAAAGCTTTGTCTGCGTTAATGTCAAACAGGTTTCAAGTGTAAATGAGATGAGAAATATATAAAAATAATGGAGGAAAATAATCTGAAAGTGTGAAAAAAGCCCTAAAAATTCAGGCTCTGTTGTGAAAAAGTGAGGTAATTTATCTGTCATTCAGATGATAGTTCTGGGGAAAAAAAGAGACAAAAATGACAAAATGCTGATGAAAGCCAGAACATCCCAGAACTAATCTGTGATGTAAAGAGGAGCGTGTTAATTGAATCCAGTGGTCTGTATCTGGTGAGCATCTGTATAACAGCATCCTGTTCTATTACAGGATCGTCTCACATGCATGTGTCTCTTATTAGCTAACATTATCTGAAAGAACGGTCATTCTATTAACTCACATTTTGCTCCAGCTGGAGATGTTTTCATATAAAAGGACTAGGCTAAATTTAGCTTGCTTCCTTTCTTGTTTGATATGACTCGTTGATCATTTTGCGTATGGTTTATTTTTATTGTTAATCGTGAGTGGAGAAAACCTCCATCTTGCTGCTGTCCTATTTCATACACATTTCTCATACATGTGCTGCTGATTTAACCACCATGATCAGAAACAAATGGGTTTTTGGTTCAAAATTGTTTGGATAAAATTCAAAATTCAAAGGCTCTTTTTTTCCCCAAGCTTGAAAAGGCTGCCTCTGTGGCTCCAGCCGTTTTCAGTAGCTCTTGTTGTAAATAGATTATGACTCAGTGGCTCTGGTCTTCAGTGCTGTGCCCATGGGGGATTGGGCTGCTTGATACCAGAGAGTTGCTGGGTAAAAGGTATGGATAATATTTCACCAAAGAGGTATGACTTGCTGCAGAGCAAGAGATGGACGGATGGACGACTGGATGGATGAATGGACTGGCAGACATCTGGAGATGCTCTCAGAGTCAACAGTAAATGGATGCTTACAGTACCAACATATGGTTGACTTGAATAAAGTCAGCACAGGAAGCGTCTTCAATACTTGATGCTGGGATTTTATACATGTAGAACCAAACACTTTCAAAATGCATTTGTAGAGTAGAGTGCACTATGAGAGCGAGTGAGGATGTTCAAACAAGCAGAGGAAATGTTCCAGATGAACCTGGATATTCCTCAGAGACTCTTCTGGATAAATTAGAAGATTGAATTTTTTTTTTTATTTCTTTCACTGGTAGGTTTCCATTAACAGCACAAAGATGCAAAGCAGAGACTTTTGTCAAGCTCAAAAGTTTTCCATCTGCGGTGTACCGTTGTATTTTAAATATTTCCTAATTAGTTAATAATAATATTAATCCTTTAGTAACTTTTCTGAACTTTTGCATCTGATGTATAATAAATATTCAGTTATTCCATCTATGTTGATTTGATCCATCCACACACTTTTCCAGTGTCCATGATGCACAGCTCAGCTCAGCACCAGCAGTTTAGATGTGAATAGCTAATTTTTCAATTAAATTATTTTCAGATATGCATTATTTTGTGCTGATTATTTTAATGCCAGGTCTGAATGAGCCGTCTGAGTATTTTCTATGGAACATTTCGTTCTGCTCTGTCACAACTAGTGATTTTAACACAGTCCAACATATGAAGTAATAAACAACTACCAGGTTCTTCAAGTAGGTGAAGAAATTGCACTGAAAAAACACAAACTCAAATAATTTTTTGGTCTAGTTTCTAATGCAACCATCAAAATACACTTAAAATAACACAAGATGTAGGAGCATATTTTAAGTGAATAATTCCTTATTTTTTATTTTAAATGTATTTGTTAGTGGTGGATTATTTATCTTATAGCAAGACATTTTCCCATCTATGAGTGAAGTAATATGAGAGTGGAACTAACACTTTGTCATCAATAATGAGGAATTATTGAGCTAAAAAAAAAAGCTCTGATACCTTGCTGAAAAGTTATTTGTGACATTGTTTTTTCTTATTTCAAGAGTGCTAACATGTTTGCACTTGAACTGTCACTCAGTTCATTAAGTGAAACTCAATTTATCTAAATTCTTTACACATTAAGTCATTTGTTCCCATGTAATCTTTAATGATCATGGCTCACAGATAATGAAATCAAGGCCTTTCTCTTGTGCAGAATCAAATACTTTATGTTGTTGTTCATCTCTGGGTTTGTGTTTCTCAACAGAAGGCTGTAAAGATATTCTCGGTACCACTGGAAGCTACACCCAGCCGGAGGTCACCACTCTGACCTAACGAAGGAGGAGGAAACGTGAAGTCTGCCGTCCGATCCCTGCTGTCGAAATAAACCGCAGAGCCACACATTGAACATCAAGATGAATCATTTCTGTTTCCTCCTGTAACATATCTGATCAACAGTAGATATGTAGTCATATTTGTGAAGCACTTTGCATGTATTGCATGATTTAACATGGTACTAGAGTTATACCACATACACTTACAATGAACTGGACAATATAGCTCCTTTCTAGGGCCCCGAAGCCATTTATTTATGTCTATTTATGCGCTAAAGGCTCATAAAACCTCAGACAGTCCCCCCTCCAAAGGAAATTGTTCTATTTCCTTTTTTACAGCTCAAAGTGGTAAAACCCTGAATTTTACTATTCCTGTTGCGAGAATCATTTTTCTCCAGTACAGCGGCGTTACGCAGTAAAAAACTAAATCACAGTTAATTACAGAAAGAGGAAAATAGGAAGCACCAAAGCTATATAAGCACTTTTGTTCTTCTGTCAGCATGGCAATACATCTTATTCTAAAATGTGATATTATATAAGTAAATTAAATAAGTGGTCAGCTGGCAACTAACTAACTAACTAACTAACTAACTAACTAACTAACTAACTAACTAACTAACTAACTAACTAACTAACTAACTAACTAGTTTAGGAGTTTAGGTCTTAAACTCCAAGCAAGAAACTTAGTAGAGCTTTGAATTTGTTTAAAATTATTTACAATCCAAACAAAAACTGTCCTGACTGCTTTTTATTAGTTTGTGATGTGTATTTAAAGCTTATTTCTTAAATATAGATAGGTAGTCATTGGGATTACAACCTTTACAGAAATATGAGCACACACACCTATCATAAGGATATTGTGTCTGATTAATTTTGGATTTTTAAGTATTTCTTTGAACTGTTAAGTTTTCCTGGTAGAGAAACAACACGACATACAACTTTAGTTATTTCTGAAAACAAGAATTGGGAGCACATCTATAATCTTTTTTGTGGATTTTCTATCCACCGATACATACATGCAGCACATCTAATGTTTTGCTATTATCAGATAAGTCCACCATTTCTGTGTCCATCAACAAGCTTCGGGTTCCTTTCTGGTACAGAATCAGATTTCAACTATTTTACTGGGTTGAGGTTGAAAATTTCCAAACTTTAAACTTTGACACACTTAAGTTTTCCTAAGATAATATTAGACTTCTGTAATGGTATTGACAACAATGTTATCGAAAATTTCTGAGTTATTTTCAAAAGTAGAGCCAATATCCGGACACAAAATTTAAATACTAATATAATTCCTTATATTAAGCAAGGCAGGATATCTAGCCAGGAACACTGTATGCCTGTTGATGGCTTCAAAAAGTGGAGGTGTCTGTCTGAAGCTTAGCATTGATTATTGAACCAAATCATTGGAGTTGCATGTTGTCTTATCATTTCACACTTCAAATAAATCAATAAAAGCCTAAAATAACACCATGCTGGTGATAGGTTTGAACAGAACCGTAGGTGTAATAAAGACACCTTTGAGCATAGATTATCATATTTTCCGCTGTTTGCCTTCTGCTGTGTCACTGCCTTCTAATACTGCAGAATGTGCAGATCTGTCTGTCTGGAACAGCCCAGAAACAATGCTGCTTAGGCAGCATATTAACTTGTAAATGCTTATAAATTAGGACAGTTTGACAGAAGCTGGAGAAAATAAATCGGCGGCGCAGTATTGTCCGTTTATCATATTAGCTCAGTGCAGTTGATGCGTCGTTACTGGTTGACTCTGGACCAAAATGCAGACTCTATTAGATTAAGTTGTAGATTTTCTGTATGTGCTGGTAAAAATACATACGGTACAACGCCATCGGTTCCGCTCGTGCCTCATGGTGAGTAATGGAGTTTAGATGTCTGTAATGTAATCAGCTTTCGTTTCTTGCTGCCTCCAAGCCCAGAAGCAGCAGGAAAGTGATTTCTTTTCCCGTGTTTATAATGTATTCCTCATGCTCTACCATAGTGGCCTTATGTTTAATAAAGCAAAAGGGAAATTAATTTACGTCCTCAAAACTATTTCTATACTGACGCTGATGTCTGTACCGTATAAGCAGCTGTAAGTATGTAGCACAGTACAACATGATAGATGATTAAATTACCTGTAAAGTCTGTTCATGCATCATAAAATAGCTGTTGACCAACAATGAGAGATCATTATTTTGAATATTCACCTTTTTACCCTCATTTTCTGTAGTTCCTGTTGTACATATTTGACATTATCAGACAAGCACATCTGTTCAATATTTGACCTGAACTGATCATAAAGGTAACTGTGGTGAATTTTAGCCCAGTTTAACTGTCAGGTGTGTGTGTGTGTGTGGGTGTGTGTGTGTGTGTGTGTGTGTGTATGGGAGGGAGTGTGTGACGTTAAACCTCCAAGGCATGTATTTCTATGCAGAAATTCAAATAAAACCCATTTCCTTCCCCGGTGTTGAAGATACGTTGGTGTCGTTCCTGTTTTTGTTCCTCATTAGCAGAGGAGATTTTCATCAGCGTTCTCTGCTGTGCATCCATTTATAGATGAGCCAGCAGACGGCTCGCAGTGCTGCAGCGGCAGTCACAGCTGCGCCTCCTGCTCTCTGCTGCCTCCCTGGTTATGCACCAAAAGGTGTAGATGGCACGCAGATCACATCTCCATGGAGATCAGAGAAGACAGGCAGCACTAATTAACGCTACACACGCGTCCCTTTCTCTCACTGTTGTTTACCACAACGCCGGCTGCATGCTCTGGTTAGCTCCTTAATGAAAAGGTTTGATGTTCAGAGGTGCAGTGTGGCGCTGAGATGGAGGGAAATGATCAATAAAAAGAACAGTTTTTAGGAAAAGCTTCACATGAACGTAGCCCAGCCAGACAAACCAGGATGACAAGAATCTCTGTTGGTGTAATTTTGGCTCCAATAAAGTGGAACTTGATTTTTTTTAACCAAACATCCTGGTGAGCTTTATTACATCAATAATTGAGCAATAATTTGCAGATTTAGGTTTCCGGTTGAAAATATTGACCTCAATGTTTGAAGAAAATAATTTTTTAATACCATTACATTAACACCCTACACCAGTAATACAGATGATGAAAGGGCACAAACTTTTTGAGATGGAATAAATTATTTATATTTTCTAAATGCCAAATGTATGGCGGACAAATGTAATTAAAAAATAAAAGAATATGTTTTGTTTTTCTGACAAAAACACATGTATAAGGAAAAGAAAAATACAAAATATATACATTTCTTTTTGAAAACGCATTTATAAGGAAGAGGACAAACAAAAAATATAAAGATTTCTGTTTTTGTAATTTAGTCAGTTTTGGACCTCCATACAAACATTGTTGGAACAAGATATAGTCTTTTATTTTTTTTATTCAATTCTCTCATCTCATTTAATTTAAATATGTAATACTCCATGGTGTCTTTTAAGTTTACATTCACTGAAGCCTCTGAAAAACTTTAGAAATAGTAAAAATGTTATCATGAAAAAGTCGCAAGTGACAAACATTTACTAAACACTGTTGAGTGTTTTTGTCAAGCTTTACAAAGGTGTCCATAACCTTTGAATTGTTCTAGATTTTAATTAAATTTTTTGACAGACACAGATTAAAAAAAAAATCTGTTCAGATTTGAATTCAGTCCCCTTTACTCTGATTACCCTGAAATAAAATCCAACAACAACTCACCTGTTGTGACATTTAAACATTCAAACAACATTCATTCATTGTTGTTTGAATGCACAACAACGAATGAATGAGTGAATTTCAATGTCAAGAGCACCTTTAAATTCATAAAACCAAACTGTGGTTGAAGTCAAAGTTGAAGGGTGATGGAGAGTCTGCCAGGGCTCGTCCTGTCATCCATGATTATCTCTTTTATTGTTCCTGCTTTTCTGCCCATCTGTAAGAGGTAGTTATGACAATAGTGAACATGTTTACCATGGAGAGGCGCTCAACCAGAGCCGCGCCGCTGTCTGAGACGCTCAGATTGTGTGTCTTGACTTATCCCCAATAAACTTACGCCAGTACGCTGGTTAACGAGGATGTAAAGTCACATGTTGATGATGAGTCGTTGTTGACCCGAATCATTATTGTGAAAGCATTTAGATGAAGAATCGACACGCCGAACTCAATCTATTTATTGATCTTGCCTCATGCTAATCAATTCAAGATAAGCTAAGCTGAACGCGAAGCAAATTTAGATTCGAAGCAGCAGTCAAAATGTCGGAATAATTTGGAGAACCAGCAGTTCAGCAGGGATAGACGACAGATGGAAGAAAATGAAAGAGGAGAGAGAGCTGCCCTCCCTCGCCCCTCTCTGGTTTTTGTTCTGCAGGTCCAGCGGCCGTTAAAATGCCGGCCATGTTTCAGAGCTCTGATCTGAAATTAATTGGTTCTGAAAGTTGTTGCTGCTGAACCCAGTTTACAGCTTATTTAAAAAGTTGATGACCTCTAGTGGTCCAGTTTTGCAAATTTTAGCTTTGATCATATTTTTCTGTATTCTGCATTAACTCCTCCAAAAGGTCTTTTTGCTCTCGTTGAAGGTGCACAGTGGTAGGATTAAACAGTTCAATCACTTTTAAGACGTTTTAACATAAATTCATGGCTCAAACAAACAAAAAAATCAGGTCCAAAAGATGCAGTATGACTAATATGACCACCCTGAAATAAAAGGTCATTGAAAAAAACACCACAGGAGAGATGAAGGATTAACTTCGACAGCCCAAGTAACGTAACAGAGGTTCTCCCCCACTTCAGAGGCTGCAGAAGCCATACTTTCCCTGAGTGTTTCTCGGCGGGCGCTCACTGTGTTCCTGTGTTTGTGAGAGAGCGAGAGAACACTGATCATACCCTTTCAATGTACGACTCCATCAGCGTTGACCCTGACGGGTTGTATGTCACTCCGACTCCCCCGCTCCTGCCACCAACCTCTGCGTCTCGGCCTCTGCCACCCACGCATGGCGTTCGACTGCACACCGAGCACCTCTGCAATCAGGACTCATATTGAATTTCATTCAAATTGGCCTCTGAGTCGCCGCTAACAAGCTTCAAAGTCTGGCTCAACTCATCCTCTGCAAAGCACAAAGTAAAGTGTGACGGCAGGCAGCCGTGCTAACGAGCCATGAGCCAATAACGTCTGGCGACACCAGGATGGCGCGTTAGTCAGCCTTACTTTGCACATCAGCCGTTTTGCTTTGCATACCTGTCATTTTAGGACTGAATGCTGATATTTTAACATCCTGCAGAATCAAACCACTTCATGCACGTATAGCTGAGACTTTTCATGTTGGCATTTTACATCTTCAACTCGCCTGCTGAGCAGAGCTGCAGTAAAGGCTCAGGGCAGGTTGGTGGACTTCAACACTCTGTGACATTTCTTAACATACAAAAACAATTGAGACACGGCAACTATTATTTCAACACTTCTTTTACATCATCATTCCTGACGAATTTATCCATCTACTCCAAATCAAATCTCAGGTAATTAGCACAGGTTAACATGTCACTTTGTGTTATGACTAAGAGCTACTTTGTCAAAGCAGGTTGAAATAATCCTGTAAAATACACAGCCATTGCAGTCTTCAGAGTCCATCAGTTTGTAATGTGATATCATTATAAATCCAGCCATTCTGTGAAGGCCTCAGAGGTTCCTTAGAGAACATCTATTAGTTCTTCGAGACATTAATAAAACCTTTAAGAAAGAGTGGCGAGAAGAGAACAGAAGATGGAATAGTTCCTGTTTAAAATTTGCCACACAAGAGCTCTGGTCAGCTGAGATGATCATTTCTGGCCTACATAATAACCACACTGGGTGAAGGGAAAATATCCTGTAACACTTTGAAGAGGTGTGCATAAGACTGACACTGTCACAAACATGAAGGAGTCTTCATGAATGTCTATGACTGTTGTCATGAAGCATCATTCGGTAAAAAATGACACTTTTAATGCAGAGTTGACACTTTTATTGGACTTCTAATGCAAGTTTTAGGGCAACTTTGCATTACAAATGCCATCATTTTCCAAATGATGCTTCATGACAACAGTCATAGACATTCATAAAGACTCCTTCACGTTCATGACATGTCAGTCTTACGCACAGCCCTTCAAATAAAGTGTCACCAAATGTTCAGTACATAAAATGAGATTGTAGAGGAACAAAATATGAAAAAGTGTAATTTCCCTGAACAGATTGAAAGTAGCACCTGAAAGTTTAACTGTTTAATTTCCAGCAATGTTAGTGGATCAAATGTCTGTTTTTTTGTAGTCAGTATATTTCTGGTCAGTATTACTAAATTGTTTGCTAAACAACAAGTTTTATAAAATGTCGTTGGGTGTCAACAATTGTTCAAGACACTATATCAGTAAAATAAATATAATACGCAAGCCCTATATATGAATCATGAGGCAGAAACATCCACACTCTTTCGCCGTACTACTCTAAATTGATTCAACCTACAAGCAGCAAAGACTTGACCAGAAGTCTGAGGTCAGCCAAAGCCAAGTGAGTTCTTGATACTGCGTGAAAAGCTTCTGGACAGCTTAAAGCTTTTAGTTATTATTACTTCATGTTAGATGAGATTCTTCTCTCAGAGTGAAAGGATGTCTTTTGTAAAAGCATAGCCATTATGTCTCAAGACAGGCGGGAAATCCACTCAGCCATTACTGTGTGGATTTGCTTCACTTGCCAGTCTTCTGAAATACTGGCTCCATTTAAACACAGTCCAACAGAGAATTATAATGATCAACAATTAGGCTTTTTTCTTTCTTTTTTTTTTCTGTTCAGCCATATCTTTGTTCAGATGAACCATTTTTAAAGTAAAAGCACCTTTAGAAACAAGAACATAACTTCATTAGCCCTAAGTGGAAGCCCGTACGTTTGCACAGCAACAGTTTTTTTTACTTTGTTGCGATACCAATGAGAAGGCGAACATGCACTCCTGCTCAGCAGAGGTCTAATCAGCCGCCCGCTGCTCTTCGGCTGTCATTGTAAAAAGGCTTTTCCGGCGCTACTCTCCAACAGAATCTCTGAATGGCTGCAATTATCCCCTCTGATGAAGCCAGCGCAGTCATGAAATGGCAAACGCATTAGAGACGACACGTCCCACACCCACTCCCAGGTAGGAAGGAAACCATTAAGGCCAAAATGTTGTTCATCAAGGAGCCTCAGCATCTCCATGTTCAATGTAATGTTGTTAAATATTGATACTCCCACTTACTGATTGCTGCTCGGTCGAAGAAAAGCACCTATGATTGTATGTGGATGGATTCTATCTTTTAGGATGTGACAAGTAAAGAAAAAACCTGTTAACACAGGGGGACCGGAGCATCAGAAACTGCTGCAGAAACAGGTAAATATTGATATTGTTTGTACTGATCATTAAAAAATTACATTTTCATTTCCATCTTTGACAAAGAGGACAGCTTGCATTATCAAAACATGTACTTTTACAGCTTTCACGTGCTTTAGGGAAACTGTTTTCCAGATTTGTACGTCGCTGTCTTTCTGAAGGCAGTTTTGGTGAGACAAATAAAGCACGAGAAGTGTTGTTGTTCTCAGAGACAGGGGCTGCTTGGCAGTGGATGTCCTGGTCCTCAGCGATCTAATTCAAGCCCAGGAAGACGAGGAGCATCGAGTTCGCAAACGACTGAGTGTTTGGAGATAATACGCTCCAGCTGTTCTCTTCTTTTATCTTCAAAAAAGGGCTAAAATTCAAAGCAGTTGCCCGGTTCATGTTACCGGCAAAGCGTGCAGTACCTACCGCAACCAACAGGAGCCCCCAAAAGCAATTTATTTGTTTTCTTTTCATCAATTAAATTATAATTTCTACATACATTATCAAATGTATATTATTGTAAAAACAAAGCAGTTCATAGTGAAATTTTGTGGTTTTGAAATTATAATAGCAAAGAAATTATTACAAAAAAAAAATAAAATAAAATATAAATGAAAATTAGTGTCCCTTGGGCCCGAAGCTGCTGCCTAGTTTGCTTATGCTTTGGGCCGGTCCTGATAAGAGCTACTTGAAGAGTTGCCTTGATTCTTTCATGCATGTATTTATTCTGCATGACAACCATTCAGCTGTACAAAACGCCTTGGCGGACCTAACCCCATCTTGGAGACGCAGCTCCGCCTTGGAGCTGCAGTGTCGGCTCCCTCACTTTATTGGCAGCAAGTAGCAAACGCCTGGTGGATCTGCACATCTGCTGAGCCCCTCATACCGTTTATAAAACTGTCGTCAAAGGCTCTCGTTATGTGTTCCTGAAGGTGGTGAAAGAAATAGAGGCCCAATTTCGATTTGATATACACAGCACTTCAGTTTTTGCTATTAAAGGCACCATGTGGCTGGAAAATAGATAACACTGCCACTTTAAATAAACAACATCAAGTCCTTGCGTTTGTATTTTTTTTTCGTTTTGCTTTTTTCAGAATAACTTGTAGGTAAAACTGCACTGGCCTGTCCTCTGAACATGTTTCATGTGTGTCTGCTGTGGAAGAAAACAGCAGCTGGACGTGCCATGTGAGAATATGACTGATGGATCTTTGCCCACACAGACCCTGTCTGCTAGAAAAATGCCTCTAGAAGTGTGAAAGCTGTCCATCAACAGTCTTTTCTTAGAATAGGTGACGGGGCGTTGGGAAATTAGGAAGCAGCCGCCTTGGCTGCGAGCGCTGCTGTGAGATAAATATCTGTAACAGAACCTGCAGGTGGTGTTCTCATCGTACGGACTCTTTCCGTCTCTCTCTGGACATTATCAGGTCATTGCAGCCTGTTTGTGAAGCCCGTGTGTTACACTGTGATGGGAAATGATTTGCTTACAGGATACCGACAGGACAGACACTCTTCTCCCTGACTGTTTTACACAGTCAAGAAAGGAAGCGCGATGTTTGACACATACTCACTCGTGACCAATAGTAGCACAACACTTGGAGAAGTCATCTCAAAGAGCATGTTCAGTAGCACAACAAGATGTTACATGAACCCAGTGTTTAGTAAAAGTGAAGCCATTGTCATTACACTTTCTAAAACAGCTGAGTATTATGTGGTATGCAGGACTGTCAGTACTGTAAAACAATACATTACCCAAATGAAAGTATTTAGTAAAACTGTCGCTCAAGTACAAAAGAAAATCTGATCAAATATTTTAAAGTTATTTGTAGACAGGCAGAAAAATGTAAAGCCATGTGCAAATTCTTGTGTTTATTATACGTTTGTGAGCGTAAGCAATAGAACAATGAAATTTATTCTAACAATACCTACTATTGCCGCATGTTGACTTTGCTTCAAAGTGGTTCAGTTGACAGAAAATAACATTAGCACAGCAAAGCTTGTGCACAAACAAGAAGTCTCACTTTGACATAAACTGTAGGCTTGTCCACATCTGGTGCACTTTTGGTGACAGTGTGCTTCTTCTTCATTCAAAGGAGTTAGTCATTGTTGGTAGAGAAGACAGAAATTTTACTTACGTTAAGGTAGAAGTACATTCCAAAAAATATATCTAAAGTAAAGTGCAATAAAATGACACTTAAAAGTTTTTTTTTTTATAGAAAAGCTGTGGATTAAGAATCAAAATAAATTTTTTCCAACGCATCGTCAAGCTCAAGGATTTTCTTCAATGAAAAATTTGAGAAGATTATTCTCAGGAAAAGATCATTTTCATAAACTTTGAATCTGAAGTGACTTCAACAGGAAACTACAGTGCTATTTAATGTCAGACGGTAAAGAGAAGACCTTTTCCAAGCGACCTATTGTTGATATTAATTAACTTTTCTAACACACAAGATGAGAACATTGAAATCCTCGTTTTATTTTGTTCTCTTTGTACTTTGAAACATTACAGTTTAAATAAAAAATATATTTAAACATTGGAATTAAACAAACAGACAATATGCTCTGTTCAATAAAAGTGGTTATTTTAATTTCCTCTTCACTCCACGGTGTTTTTACACTATAGTCACTCTAAACACCAAATTAGTTAAAGTTCCTGTCTTATTGTTACAGTAGTACATGTCTTCCTGATTACGTCCCCAGTTTTGTGCTGGACTTCATCACAGTTCGAGTGAAAAACACAGAGGAGAAATTGCTTAAACGTCAGTGGTCCCGCTCCACCGCAATGACATTAGATTTCATGTACTGGTTTTAGATAAGCAGCACACAACACTGAAGGAGGAGAAAAACACGGAGCGAAAAACATCAAAAACCAACACGTATTTTCACTTCACACAGACTCTGACGCTCCCTGTTGCTCACTCTCGCACATGAATGCACACGCGCGCACAGCCAGGCGCTCGGTTTTTACTGTCAACAACAACCACACACATAAACACCTGAAACCAACAGACACCAATGTAACAGTACCGACAGTACAAAAAAATCCAAAAAATATCTGAGAATATACAAGTATTTACAGCTCAAGTATACACCCTGTCACTCTCACCATAGATACTCATTGTGAATTTATCAGAATGTACATCAATATGTACAGGTTAGATACATCATCTTAAATACTATAAATATAACTATATTTGGTCACATAAAGACTATTTGCACATTTAAATAGATTTATTGGTACCATGTCTTTGTCAGCTTCATGTTGGTGACTCAGCTGAGATGAACTCCAGAAGTTGCAGTGGACATGTTGGACAAGACGAGGAGACCCTGGAGTCTTTGCTTTCAACCCTATTCATTATCAACAGATAACAGCTTTTTATGCCTTAGACATCTTTGTAAATGTTTAAGGCAAAATCTACATACGTCCGTGGTTATAATACCATCATCAGTGGCAGGTAGCTGGGACTGTGCTCTGATCAATATTAGACATTAGAGGGCAGTTTTGTTACTTTTATTGATGGCAGTGCGTTTTATTGTAAAGCTGTGCTCTCAGTGTTTTGCAGGATGCTGAATTTAAAGTAGACAATCAAAATATCTGTTCGCCAACCAACATCCTGTGACTGTAAGATCAGACATATAGCTTAAAATTTCACTCATCGTGACATAATAACTCCTGCAGGCCCACGGTTCTGTGCTTTCCTAAAATGTGCTTTGACCGGAAGCTAAAGCTGCAATTTCAGATGTGTGCCTTGGTTTCAGGTGCCTTTTGCAAATCTGTGCCTTGTAAGTTGTCTGAAATTGTCAGAAAAAGAACCACAAGCAGATTTAATAGTGCCATTCGGATGTCATAAAAGGGTATTGTTATTTACCTTGATAGATAAAGATAAAGAAAGCTTATGGGGAGTCCTATGAGAAACTTTAGCATTTCATTGTATTGTAACAGGATACAATACAATGAAAATGGCTTGGAATCCATGGGAATGTTGCAGATATTAGAAATATTCTGCAAAAACTCACATTTTCTGACACAACATAGTATTGTGACAGAACGATAAAGGAATCAAAGTTATTACACGAGTGTATAACATCTATTAACGCTGTATGATTTTCTTGCAAAAACATTAAAAGTTTTACTGAAAATCAATAAAATTCAAAGATTTTCACCACTTATTTCCTGTGCTTGTTCTTGACATTCATCCTGTGCTTTTTTTTTTTGATGAATATACTCTTAAAACAAATAAATAAATAAATAAATACACATATAAGTATTTCTCAAATTTGTGCTTAACAAACAACTCCAGGGTCTGAATCTAATTAAAGTGCTCATGTGAACGAGACAAAACGTTGTTGCAAACAAAGAAAACAGCAGTGATCAAACAACATAAAGCATGAGGCAGACGACACAGATGCTGCTCAGACACCAAACAAATGCCACTGATTCTGCTTCACTCCCTTTGTGGAGGCAGCCTCAGGTACTGGTGCTTTCGCAGGGAGGGGCCACAGACAGAATAATGCCACTGGTTCCTCTGCTGGACAGCAGTGACATCAAGTGGCCAAATCCAGGTACTACCACTTATCTAAAACATTAATATCACATTACATTTCCACTGTCTTTCAAGGTTATACATCAAAAATAAAAAAAAGGCTTTGTTGTCACACTTTGGATAGCAAAGGAAGTGTAGCTTCTAGTGCTGATTGAATTATGTTGCCACAATGAGAGGAATGTACAAGACTTAAACCCAAATCTCATCCTACTAGGGATGAAGTGTGACTGGTCCACAGAAGCATAGCAGTGAACCACATGTATTCAGAGTATTGCAACAACACTGGTGAGGACTGTATATGTAGGGCACGGGTAGATGTGCAGGTGGAGCAGACAAAGCAAGGTGTCTGCGCCGCCGCTCCTCTTCCTCCTCCTCCTCATCAGATCAGAATCGGTTTCTATGGTGCATGTTGCCACGGCTTCCCCTGAGTAACGCTGCTCTATTTTTAAACAGGCAGGTATGCCAGGAGCTCTAGTTCAGCAGCAGACAGCACACAGACATACAAATCCGCGTGCACACTGAGCTACTGTTCCTGCCTGCTTCCTTAAAGCAGCGGCTCATTCGCAATCCTAAACCACCCGTTAAAGGTCACGCCATGCTCAATGGAGAGGAACACTGAGGAAAAGACAAGTGTTAAGGCTCAGAGATGCTCTAAACATGGCAGGTGTCCGTGGTTATGTGCTTGTAGAAATGGGGAAGGGTTAAGGTAACCCCTCTTTCATCTCTATTGCAGCGTGTATGCATGGTGGGGTTTCCAACTATTGCACAACATATATATACAGTGTTTGAATGTACATTAGAAGGGGAAATAGAGATAGAAGGAGATTTGTGATTCAATGAGCACTGATATTATTGCTGATGCGTGATAGGCACGAAAAACTCCAAACTATAATGTGCTTGTAACACTACCAGAATCTCGCACTACATCTTGTGATGGATGAATGTTTGACCACTTTTGTTTCCACATGAAAAGTTTCCTGATACTTATCAGATGGAGGGTGATTGTTTTCTAAGTCTCCTTCAATCCTATTCCCACAGCAACAATCCTCTTCAGTGAACCAGCAGAAGCACAAACTGGTTCCTGAAAGCATTTTAAGTTCTGTACCAGTCAAGGCATTGTAGCATTGCCCGCTGCTTAACCTCAGAGAGAGTTTGTATAGAGATGCACCCATCTGAATTTTGTGGCTTATTTCCGCTCAGGTTTTAGCCAAATCCCATTTCTGTTCAAGTACAGGATATTAGCGAGTAGTGATGCTAGCATAAGAAAAACAGTCTCCCTCTTGTGGATGGTCTTGGGAATTTAAACTCTTGAATTTCCAGGCTGTCAGTATTTCCACGTGTGGCATTTCACAACTGACAGATATCAATTGCTTGAAACAGAGAAACATTACTCTGTAAAGCTTTCCAGGTCTTCTGCATAGAAAGTTGTAATTTTTTTTTAAATTCAGCTAAAGTGTGCATTTCTGCTCTCTTTATTTTTAACACCTCACTGATGCTTAAATTTTAGCTTACACCCCAAGTCATTTTTATTGCTAATAAACTGTCTAAGTAGATCATTTAGGGTTCCAGCTTTATGTTTCTGTGCAAATTTGACAGTTTTGTGCATATTTTTTCAGTTCTGCGTTATTTTGCCTAAAACCACCTTAGTGTTGCTCACTTTTAGTGGAACAGCTCTTAAGCAGGTGAATATATCCATATGGCTTTTCATCACACAACCATCTCACTCAGACACACAGCCCCACCTGGTGGTGAGTTAGGAGTTGGAATAGCTTTGATCAATAGAGTTACTCAGATTTGCGATTGTGTGATTTATTTGCGATGGAAGACGCAGAGTGGAGTGGGTCTCCTCTGCTCTGCCTACTAGTGACGGTGTACTGCACGGTAGGTCATTTGATAAAAAAAGTTGCTACAGGTGTCTGGAAAGTCTCTAACTATAGTTAGAGGCGTGGCCACACTCGGCCGTGCCTCTCTGTCTCTTGGCTCGGCCCACTGTGCCAGGATTTTTCAAAACTTGTCAGGGGCGGGGTTATGCTAACCTTCTTCCCACAGTAACAACTTCTCACACTGAGAAGTGTTGTCATGGCGTATTGACTGAGCAAAAGATCAGACTTGATTTTCTGACTGCCATATCACCAGCTGTTTTTTGTGTGCTTCTCTATTTTTTTCTCTCTGGAGGTTAAGGTGTGAGGAATGCTGCAACTGAAATTTCTCCACCTTCTCTGTCTCCCTCTCCTCTAGCTGAGAGGGCTTCGTTTGTAAGCGGGACGACGTTGGAGCTCATTAGATCATAGCTCAGACTCGGGCGAGCCAATGTTCTGGTATCCAGTCTTGGTGCTGGTGCCGTAGTTGGTGTTGGTCATCTCTTGGGTGCCACCGGGCCCAAGATAAGCGCGGTGGGCAGGCATGGGTGAGGGAGCCTCGATGGGGTTCTTGCCGAGGATGAAGCGCTGCTCGTCCTGCTCCTCCAGGTTGGAGATATCCTTCATCATTCCTTTACGGTAGGAGACGGACAGCTTGTTGGATCCGTCGGAGACCAAGTTGAAGTGGCGGGCGATGAAGACGATGGGCAGAGGCAGCATGGCGACCACGATGAGGGCATAGGCCATGGCCAATGCCCACGGAGGGTAGCTGTGGAAACGCTCTGAACCCTAAGGGTAACAGAGAAATGGTAAAGTCAAACAAAACATATTTTGGGTTAAAATCCATGCAAGGTTTTGAAAATTATGTTTAGACAAAACCCACATAGGTAGCCAACTACAATTACTAGGACCCCTGGTAAACATGAGGACAAAGGTCTTAATTCATTAATATTAAGCAGCCATCTTGGCCCCAATATGGAACGCTTCGCTGCACTTCTTTAACCAGCAGTGAACTGTGGAAAGTATTTTACCTCCTTTACCATCTTGCTAACTTATGCCCTCTATCAGCTAAATATAGCAAACATTTACAACAATAATATAGAAACTTAAAATGAAATCAATCCAACTGTTTCAGATGCAGGTAAAGATGGTCCAATGACTTTAGTAAAATACATTCACAGCAGACCATTTCCACTAAACAGATTCTGAATGTAATGTTTTTTTTCCCCTATGACGAACTAATAGGTTAGCGGGTCTAGGTAAGTCGACTAATCATGCATGAGAGGGTTTGGGGTTTCTAAGCACTTTTACCCATCTGTGAAATGAATACCAAGATGATGGTCACGAAAATTTGGACAAGAAAATTATATATTAGAACAGATCTGTAATTAATTCAAAACTATTTAATAAACCTAGTTATAGTATCACCTTTTATTTTAATCTTTCTAATATATTCTGTGGAATAAAAAGTGGCAGGCAGGAGAAGCTGACCTCTTCCTCCACCCATGCGTTGTATCCTGCAGGACTGACAGACATCTCTATGACGGTTGCAGCAATGAGCACCACCAGGATGGCAGGGGACACGTATCTCCACATGTAGAAATAGAAGCTGTATGGTCTGAAACCAAGCATATCCTCCAGGTCCTGCATGAATCTAGAAGTTCAAAAGAAGAATCAGGACACGACAATCAGATATTGTTAAAAATGTTTACTTGCAATCACTTATTTTCTGACAACACACACAGTTAAGCAGTGGTTTCTAGCCACTGTACCTCTTAGTGCCATATATCCAGGCTACAGAGATGTTCTCCAGGATCACAACCACAGTGAGGGGCAAACCAGCGGAGTAGTCATCAAACATGGTGACAAAGTAGTTCCCTGAACGCTGCACAAACAGCAAGCCCAGCAGGAAGGCTATTATGCAGCAAACCACTAAAGCAGACACAAACAGGACAGAAACACGCCGTTAAAATCTGATCTCACCTCTCGTCGATTCTGGAAAGCCAGAATGAGGACTCACCGCACAGGATCTCCTTCCGGATCTTGAAGGCATCCAGTATGGGCGTGGTGATGCCGGTCATGGTTCCGATCATGCTTCCCAGACCCAAGTTGATCAGCATGAAGAAGAACATGACAGACCAGAAGGGGCTGGCGGGGAAATGTGTCATGGCCTCGGTGAAGGCGATGAAGGCCAGACCGGTCCCCTGAACCGCCTGAAAGGGAGGAAGATACTGGAGATGGTCACAGCGTTCAAAGGTAACAACTGAAAAAAATGAGATATCGGTTCATTGATTATATTGTAACTGGAAACATTCACTGTGTGTAAAGTAATTGTGAATTTAAACTTCCTTAAAAAAAGAGCAAAAAACTGGAAGTGATGAAAAGGAAATGCGTTCAAAAAGATATTGTTGCTCTTACAATCCTTTTTCCTTCACCTACTTTTAATTTCTCTACTCGTATGTTTTGAAGCTTAATGAGTTTTGGCGTTACCTTATTAAGTTCGTCCTCCAGGATGCAAGGGTCCAGACCCAGCTGGCCAAAGCTGTCCTCCTTCACCGTCTTGATGACTCCATACATCTCTGAGTAATCCTGAGCTGTCAGGTGGGAAAAGTTGATGTGAGAAGGAATAAGCTCCCTACTCAGCACACCTGTGTTCAGGTAACCCAGAATCTTCTCTGCGTTCCTGGAGAGGCAAAGATAGATGGGTTAACGATGAATAAAAAAGAAAATAATCTCCTGAAGAGTGACTTTTTTTCTATAAGACATACTCACTCGACAACACACTTCTCATTCATGATGTTGGCTTTGAAGCCCAGCACAGCAAACACCACCAAAGTGGCCAAGATGGACGTGACGAAGTTGATGACGGAAACCAGAGCTGCGTCGAAGTGGCAGTTGTTGTCCCTCTTGTTGTAGCTGGAGAACGCGATGACGCCTCCGAAGCCCAGGCCGAGGGCGAAGAAGACCTGCGTCGCTGCTTCCCTCCACACCTGCGGCTCCAACATCTTCTCCAACTGGTGAGAAGAGGAAGTGGAAAGATTAAAGACCGTGCTCACTCTCTGTGACAAAAACTCAACTCTGGACAGAAAGCTTTCATGCGCTTACATTCTTTATGAATCCTGGGCTTGTGTCGATGAATTTAGCTGTTCTTTTACCAGTAAGTTAAGAAGAAAAGAGCATTTTCTCTGCAAATTACTCAGATTCATTTGAGTAAAAAAACAGGTGAGGTGTTCATACGTTTATTTAAGGTTGAATCTTTAATTTTGCTTGTGTGGGGATTGGCAAAACCAATGACAATTCTCCATTTTTAAATCCTTGAAGGGTGGCTGTATCCACATTTCAAATCGAAAAGACACTCATGCAAATAAGTGGATGCGAATGAATCTTCTGAAACGTTTTACATTATATTTACATTAATGATTTTTTTTTTGTTATTGCCACATTAACTATAGCTCGCTTTAACCTGCAGAATGCAGAAATGAAATAGCAGGAGACCAAATCTTAAGCTTTAGAAATAAGTGAATAATTTTGCCTAAAGATCTGATTTAAGCTTAACTTACCTTTTACTGTTCCAACCTATAAAGAAATCACTGCATTTACAGTCAATCAAATGTATCTATTGCTGTGATTTGCACCCTAGAGTGTTTGAGTTTACTTCCAATCTCTCTTGATTGAAGTAAAATCAGGAAAGTGAGCAGGTGGCTGCAGGTGAAGATAATTTGTTACTCAGAACTGAAGAGATTGTAGCTGAAGTACCTCAACATGGTTCATCTGCATGCAAATACAGATTAAATCATTTGCATTTCATTCTGATTTCGTATCTTGATGAATTACATGTCTGTGTAATCAGTTTCCTTTACATATTTCTATATTTGTATTTTAACTCTGTGGTTAGAAATTTTGCTGAAATGTGGAATTAGTTTGAAACTTATTGCGATTACAGAAAAGATTAAAAAAAATTAAGCCACGAGCACACACACAAAAATACAAAAACACATATTTGACCTCAAACTTCCACAGTCAGATCACCAATGTTGCAAAATCTCGAAAAAATCTCCTCATTACAATAATTTAGCCGCAATCTTTAAACTGTTTTCTGTTCCTCTGAACATGCACTCACCACTAGAGGGTGACGTTGCTCCTTCTTACCACCCTACCTGAGTATTACTGACATTTTCATGAAATTGGATCTTAATGAATGGCGCTTTAACTATGAGAGCCGCTGACGTTACCGTACACTCAGCTTTGAGAGGAGAGGGTTTATTCTTTTTCTTTCTCAGCACACAACAAAGTTCTTTTGTTACTACTTTAACGTCAAGTGTAATTAATCCTGGAGTTTCTGTGTCATGATTGCTGCTTGGGTTTGGAAAAGGATCGTCTATTCTCTCTCACCTTGGGAGTGAACATGTGAGCGATGCCGTCCACCGAGCCCTTCAGCATCAAGCCTCGCACCAGGAAGCAGAAGAGCACCACGTACGGGAACAGGGAGCTGAAGTACATCACCTGGCAGAGGGAGAGAAAGTCAACCGCATCACACACTGTTGCCATGGACACGCTTTTCCGAGACCTCACACGTAGAAGGAGAAGTGCCATCAAACCCACTTCCACGCACTCTCCCAGATCTGCTCTGTGTTTGCTTTAAACCAAATCTGTGAGATGAGCCCATGAGGCTAAAGTCCTTCCCGCTGCATCAGACGGACTCGCTAAAGAAATGTGTCAGATCTGGACTGGGTGTAGTGCAGCGATAGGCCGCATGACTCATAACTTGGCTCGAGAGCTCAGCGTGTTGAAGCTACCGACTGCACAGTTGAATCAGTTGTTCCTTGGTTCGGCTTAAGCTTATCAATGTTGCATGTCCCTGGCTTCCATAATCTAGATGAGGTCCAAAAATAGACGCGTGTGGATGAGAGGCTTAGTATTTTACCTTTGCCCGGCAAGCAAAGTCAGAAAAGCCCTCATGGACATGAATAAATCAGTGATTAAAAACCCAAACGGAGAGCTTTGGCTGAAAGGATTTATTATCATGGTGTGTGAAGAAATAAATGAGATGAAAGAATCGGTATGTGCAGGCTGCAGGTTCAGCCAGAAGAGCTGCCCACCTTCCCAGAGGACTGGATGCCCTTGATGACGGCCAGGCACACCAAGATCCAAGCCACCAGCAGGGACAGGGTCATCTTCCAGTTCAGGCCACCGGTTTCGTCGATGGTGCTGGTGATGTTCAGAGTCTGGCGGTACCAGAAGTAGGTGGTGGCTGAGCTCTTCTCACATTCTGGCTCCACAACTAGATCAGCAGCAAGGAAAAGGAGACAGACTGACCTCTGGACATCCTAACCTAAACTATTTAGCTCAGTTTAGACCAGAACAGTTTCTTTGTTAGGTGACTCCTTACGGCAGCTGGACAGAGGTTTAATTAGGGAGTATCAAAGTAAAAAGCCAAAACACAAATACGTGGCAGACTTTTCAGATATTGTGAGAGTAAGAAACCTTTTAATCATTTTCCTTACATATCAACCTTATGTGTAGCTTGTGCTGGCTTGTTACATAAGATCCCCCCAAAAATACATTGAGTTTTCCTGTCCTTAACATGGCAGATTGCGAAAGATTTAAGGATTATGACTAATTTTGCGAGAGCAATCTACTTCCGATTCTAAATTAAATTCAGAGCTGACGCTGAATGTCAGAGCGTCAATAAGGAGTCTTGGCATCAGATGCTGCCACCAGCTGGTCGAATCAGCTGGGTCAAACCGGTTAACGAGCCTTCACAAGAGAGCTGCCTGTATGGTGACCTGCAGAGCGGCCTCAGTCGCTGCAATGGCTCAGATGACGCTCTCCTATAGAGGCTGCCATAATGCAAACATGTTCTGCAGCTTTAAGCACAGCATTGGTAGGTCTCTCTCTCTCTCTCTCTGTCTCTCTCTCTCAATCTCTCTCTCTCTCTCTCTGTGTGTGTGTGTCTAAATGCAGAATAAGAAAAAGCTCTCAAGGACCCATTTCTGTTTCTTTTCCCTCTGTTTTGTGCTGACGGCCTCTTGAGGTGAGGTGGGTGTTTGAGTTTTGCATTGACAAACTCACTGGCTTGGGTTCCGTTTTTCCTGATGGGGCATTCGGCCCATGGCAGCGGATACTGAAACGACTGGAAGAAGTAGAAGATGCTCCAGCCGATAATGACGTTATAATAGAGGCCAACGAAGCCGCAGACCTGCAGAGACAACAGAAAGGCGCGTTCATTTAACGGCACACGGCGTGTCGAGGTGAGGCAGGGCACAGACACACAGCAGCACAGAGCAGCAATATGAATTATTGAGCTGTTTGCTCTCTCCGCCAAGGCTGTGGTTCTCAAAGAGGTGGTATTTATAGACGCTGGAGCTCCCTCTGCCACATCCGAGCTGCCACACGCCTCGCTGCCCTCGGACACGGCTCCACACCCCCTCGTTGGCATTAGACTGATGAAATTGGGTGTCGGGATGACTGGCACTCAGAGCAGAGTCGCTGCCTGAGCGACTTGGGTGCCGGCAGGTTGTTATAAGCTGCTGACGATAATGTGATGTGGACACGACGGGTCAATACTCCTGATGATGGGGAGGAGAGACTGTGGCACAGATCAGACATGGAGGTTTTCTTAAAGCAACTAGAGGTCATTTGACTGAGAGGGAAATATTGTACAGCAGAATTGATGACTGTTGTTTAAACAAAAAAGAAAAGGGATGTCTATAATACGAGGATTTTTAGGCGGTTCATGAGTCATTAATAAGTCTGCTTTGTTATTTTGTTGATTAAATTTAAATAAAAAAAAAAAAAGAATAAAGACTAATTTGTGTAGAAACATTTACTCAAGTAGGTTTTGGGGAAATAAATGTATTTCTGATGTATTTGTACTGCCTCACAGTTTTCCATATATATATATAAAATTAAATATTATTGTCACTAAATCCCATATTTTTGTTTTTTTTATTAATTTGATGCAATATTCTCATTTTAAATATAAGTGGAAAATTTTTTAATTGAACAGAAACAAAGACTGACAAACATCCATCTGTGAGTAATTGATCTCTATAGATCGGGTTTCACTTAGTGACAAGGTTCCTGAAATAAATGGGCTTTTAACATTCTGATTTACTGAATGGGTCTGTATATATTAGGCACTGTAAGTTTTGTTTTCAAAGGTTTTATGTTGTAATTTTTATTTTTATTTCTTTAGCTTGAGTTCATTATTTTGTAGTTTTATTTTGTAGTAATGTGTATTTTTCTTCTTTTTTAAAAAAAAAATCCATTATAAAAAAATGTGTATTGTGACCCGCATGCCGTAGAATGCCCCGGTCTGATCCAACCTGGGTTAATGCGAACTGACATGATAAACCCACCATGAGGCTGGAAACGCCGATGCCCCCCAGCTGAGGGTAAACGTAGTTCCACACCCCGATGCTGCCACGCCTGATCCGCTGACCGACTGCCAACTCCAGGAAAAACAAGGGGATGCCGATGAGGAGGAGGAGGATGAAGTAGGGCACTAGGTATGCACCTGAGAAAGAGAGGACAGGGGGAGGAAACATGACAGCATGTTTATTTCTATAAAGGTTTCAATGTGGTGAAAGATGAAGCCTCTCTCAAGCAGCAGAGGAAACAATGTCTGGTCTCTTCTCTCCTCTCCTGTTCATTTGCTCTAATATTTGGTTTTCTCCTGTCCTCTTTCCATTCAGCATCCTCTGAACTCTTCATCATGACCCTCTTTTTCACAGAAGGGGGGGGGGAAAGCGAAGCACAGACGGCCGTCACAGACAGCAAGTCACATCCAGTCCTGCTTACGTCAAGAAATGACGACAGAAGCATCTGAAGCCAGAGATGTGGTTCACAGAGAAAAATACTTCATTCATGTTTTACCTGATGCTAACAGCCTGACGGAGAGAGCAGGAACCAAACAATGAAACACGATTTGACAGCCATGTCTTTAATACAGAATCTTTTTTCATATCTCTGCTGGACAGGCATAATGAACAGAAGCAAGTTAATATTTGTAATTAAAAAGATAAACTACAAAGATCTTCTTACTGGCAGCCATTTTAGTGTCAAATTCACACATAAGTTAAATAACTTCAGATAAGATACTAATGTTAGAAATTGGTTGAACACATGAAAATAGAGTTTTGCTGTTCTGGTCTTCTTTCAGACAACCTTGTATTCTACGAACGAATATTTTGCTTCGATTTGTACAAATTTAAGCGATCAAAGGCTTCATTTTCTTTAGGTCAAAGTTTCACAATGTTCTCATCGCAATATCTACAAGTGCAATACCGTAAAGATTAATTACGTTGTGGCCGCAATATCACTGACATTCAAAGTAAATCTATGCTCTGAATGCCCATTGCATGCTGGGTCCGATGAATGGACTCATTTCTGCAACTCCAGTTCATTTTTAGCATCTATGTCACTGAAACATCTGGAGAGTTTGCAGGCACTTTGTGACGATCGCATCAAAATGGAAAAATAAGCAAAATGTGGGTTAATCTTAATGTGACACACACTTCAGAAAAACAATCACAGTTACTATATTATTCAATGTGTAAAACATTGAATAATGTTTTACACGTCGCCATGCTAATTTTGTGTTGTGGCTCAACCTAATGCTGCTGAAATTTCACTACCAAAGTACAGAGAGCAGGAGTCTCTGACAATGACTGACTAAATGGAGGGGTTTCAACACAGAGGAGGAGGATTAGTGGAGGGAAATGTGTGAGTAATTGTACTGACGTGTGACAACTGTGAGAGAACATGAACCAGGGCTGATATGACAGAAAACTGACACAGAGAACATTATCTGAAAAGAAAATAACTCAACACAAACACAAAGAGCCTAATATAACATAAATCCCAGGTATAATATGAGAACACTGATGTGAGATTACAGAGGGAGAAAAAACTCAAAATCTTGAAGATCATGATATATAAATGTTTCGGTTTGATCAGAGTTAGACTAATTTTTTAAGAGTTGCCTGGTCCAACCAAGGATGAAATGAAACATCAATGCCTGCTGCTTGCATAGACAGTTTTCTTGCAGTGTCATCCTGACAGCTTGTTAGCATCAGTCATAGCAGAGACATGGTCAAAATAACAGCCACAGGGAATTAATCAAATCTAAAAACTCATAAAATGAATCAGATAAAAATGCAAAATGACATAAAATGTCCAAAACTTTCATAAATCAATAGACTTTCTTGTAAGATTACTTTGCTTGGTTATTTGCTTTGCAGGAAAGTGTTACTTTACCACATCTTTTATACTGTATTTAATTAAAATATAAAAATGACGAATAGGGGAGCATCAGCAAAAACAATGTTCTATTACAAATTACTTTTTGACATATTTTACATATCTTTTGGTGAAAATAAGTTGCGGAATAATACAGTACTTTTAAAAGTACTTTGCCTTTTCGCTTAAATCTGCACAGAAATACATTCAATGGCTCAAATCTGCACACATTAGGCTGAAGACACATTTCATGCAAACCCTTCCCACACAAGAGATCAACAGTATCTAAAAGCCCGAAGCATTTGTATTTATTGTTGAACTTCCGTCTTAGTCATCATCCACCTTCTCATTTCATTATAATAACAGCAAATCAAGCTGCCAAACTCAAGATGCCGAGAGAGCTTTAGGAACCATAACAAACTGAGGCTTTTTCAGCTAAAATCTCTGTGCTTCCTCCTCACAGCGAGGACTGAATGCCTAATCCCATCGCTGCTGAGGGTGCATGTTGACTAATTCAGACAAACGCTGCAGAGCCTGCAGCTCTGACTTGGTGAGAGTTTTGATTTCCAACACACAAACAGCCAAAATGATTCCTGTTGTCTGGAGCAAATTCTTTTTGTATCGTGTTAAAGCGAATTCATTCAGTCTCTTCTGGGCCTCAGTCTTAAGTAAACTACCAACTGGGCGTCTGAACTTTGACCCTTTCTTCTTCAGGACCTGGAAACTTACAACTGATGCACCCGCCAATGAATTGTGCTCTCAACAGTGAATTTCAGTTTGCTACCTTATCCTCAAGCACATCTGGATTGTGCAGCAGAACAACGATCCAAAGCAAATCAGAGAAAAGCAAAATAAAAAATAAAAAATCAATGTTGGACTGAAATCCAATGAAGTCGATTTGGAGACACTTTTGACAGTCTGTCCATGTCTGATAATCCTCCAATTTAGCTAAATCAAAATAAAAACATCCAAAATATTAATGTGCTCTTGATGAGAGGACGTGAACTTCCTATTGGAACTATTAATTGATTGACTAAAGTCTCTTATTCTTGGATTCTTTCCACAGATTTCTATTTTCACTCATCATTCATGGAAAGCCTTGACTAAAACCTCTATTACAGTGACATTTAAACAATGAAAATATCTTATACCTAGCAAAGGAAAGAACATTAACAATACTCTGAATATGAGTCATAATTAATAAACAATCTGTGGATTTCAGAAACACAATAAAGGTCAGTCCTCCTTTAAGTGAAAAGAAAAACTCCATCCATCCACACACTGGCTCAGTTCCTGCAGGTTTGTGAGAAGAACAACGTAGAAAGTCATATTTCAGATTTTTAGGACAAATATTGCATATTAAATATATTTCAAATATTAGACACAATAATTTTGTTATGCAAAGTCATCCAGAGGTAAAACATTTTATCTGTTTGGATGAATAAAAAGATTTTCAGACTGGATAGAAAGTTGTTTTCTGTCCTGGTTTTGTGTAAAACAAAACTTACAGTGTATAATTATTCTGTTTTAGTTCATCTCAGTAATATCAAGACGTCTTGTTTATGCTTGGGTTTCTTAATGATGACTTTATTTTTGTGTGTAAACAGACAGTTTATTAAACAGGAGTTAAATTTTCTGCAGTTATTTAAATCCCTCTATGATCTGTTGCGAATTACCTTGTAAAACAAATCAGCAGATCATTGGATTTACGACTTGTCATGAATATGTGAGCATGTTAAATCAAATCATAGCAGAACAAACGGTTTCAGGGCAAAGATGCAGCACTTTAATGAATTAACCCGGAGATTTAACCAGTGAGTGAAAGTGTTGTCTGTGGTTGCATCTCGTTCAATTCACATTAACAGTCTTGATTTGACGTTGCTGTCCTATTTAGGACCTGAACCAGAACCAGAAAGAATAAAACTGCAGTCTTCTGGCAAGGTTTGCTTATTAAAAGAGACAACAAACTCTCACACATTTACCTCCACCATTCTTCTGGCACAGATAGGGAAACCTCCACACGTTTCCCAGACCAACCGAGAAGCCGACCTGAGCGAGGATGTACTCCAGCTTGTTGTTCCACGCCGGCCGGCCGTCCTCGGCGTCCTGCTCGGGGAGCAGAGACCTTCCTGGGGCAGTGGATCCGGGACTCAGACCCATGCTCATCTGACTGCTTTTATAGTCCATGGGGTGCTCCAGAGACAGGAGGTCAGCCACGGACTCTGTGACCGGCTCATTGCTGTGCTCCCGCTGAGTCACTTTGGTGTTTTTTGGCATGGCTGCTGGATCAACGGAGCTCCTTCACAGGGGAGGCTGACGACGAGGAACGAAGAGGAGAACGTCCGGCAGAAGAGCGGCCAAGTTGGAGTGTGTCGAGATGAGAAAGTTGTGCTTTTCCTAAATCTGTAAAGAAACGTCATATAGAACAGAATGTCATATTTTACGCAAAAAAGTGTATTTTTAGGAGGTTTAAGTCTTATATTGTTAATTTGAAAGTAAACCAGCGTGACCACTTTACTTTGGAAAATTCCCAAGTGCCTTGTATTGAGCTCCATCCAAGTGGTGGGGGGATGAGGGCTTGTTGACCTTTTGACCTTTAAATTTAAATTAATATCTTCAAAGCCAAAGCTGCACAAACAAAAATTTCTGCTGCACACACCAGCACAAATGGAGTCGAGTTGATTGACACCCATTTTGTCTGATTTGAAGAAGGTGGGGGGCTGGTTGACCTTTGATGACCTCTAGAAACACTTTTCTTAATATCTTTAGAATCTCTGAAGCTTCACCGCAGTCCTTGTTACCCAGCCGCTCATTTTAGCTGGACTTTTATGTTCTGGTAGGTTTTCAGGTCTACACACTCTTTTATTTTCAAATGACGGGCTGAACAACATTATCCTAAAACCAAACCCTGATTTAAACTTCTCCACAGCTTTAACCCTGGCCTGTCTGCAGTGTTCCTGGTGTCCATGAATCTGTTTGTTCACCAGTCTCCTCGAACGAACATCCGAGGCCTTCAAAGAACAGCTGGACTCACACTGAGACTCAGTGACATGAAGGTGGACGTTATTGACATCTGAAGACAGTTAGCTGCTCTTGTAAGATGATACAAGGTACAGAAAATGATTAAATGACAAGCAAATTAAAAAGACCTTCTAACATAAAACACATATCTTTCACAGGAGATCAATTATGTCTGAAAGTCCAGGGTGTGTATCCTCACCAGATCACTAGTTTTCTGATGAATCAGGGATTGGATCTGTCTCATAAACAGTGCACAGCCGATCAATGACTTAAAAACTTAAAATAAAATATGTATAGTTTAATATTACTTGTGAAAAAATGTCTAACTGAAACGAGACAAAAAAGCAGACATAGAGTTTTACTGAAACTACATAAATCGACAACAAGCAGTTCAGATTTTTTTTTTTTTGTTAGAACCTGAAGTATTTTTAAATGGCAGCACTTCAGATCCATGAGGCCGTTCAGTAATCCACTTCATTACAGCAGATGAATGTCCCAGACTGAATTACAATCCACAGTAAAGCCCATTATACTAGAGTTGAGTCATGTGAACAGCAGTGAATGGTCTGTGTGTCTCGCAGCACAACTAAACTAAACCCTCTGAGCACAAATTTCATCGGCTATTAAAGACGTTATTTTTTTTACATGTTGTCAGCTGTTTTTATTTTATTTTATTTTTTTTATTACTATGTGAAATGTGACATTCTGGAGTAATGTTGAATTTCTACTAGTTGAGAAAAGCATGTTGGACTATCCATGGTATCTGGCATATAGAACCGTATCTACTTAACAACAAAAGAGATTCTGTCATCGATTAGTTTTATTGTCCTACATATATGAGGATTTCATGGACATTAACTGATTAAACCAGTAATCCACTGGTTTAGCATTGGTCTGTCCAGGTCAGCAAGCAAAACCTCGTCTGTTTTCGATGTTCCAACATTCATTCATTTATTGTTGTTTCATTATGTTTTTTTGTCCCTCTTTATTTTGCAGAGGCAGAAAAAGGAAAATTGAGAATCATTTTACTATTTGCAAAGCCCACATTTAATAAATTGATTCCAATAATTATTTCAACAAATAAGCAACAAATTGTCAACACTTAAATTTCACACCTCAGCCATGCAGGGGTTTGTTTTTCTTCTTTACAAATGTTCACTTCTTCATGGCGGCAAAATCCTTGAAAGAACTTTTTAAATATTTCTTTTTTTTTTTTGCTTTTGTTTTCACCATTGAACTTAAATAACGCTACATGGAAATGTACTAAAACTAAACTGCAGATAGTCTGCTTTGGGAACACTTCTTATTGCTCTTTTTGCATTACAAAAAATGGATTTGATTACTTTCTATATCAATTTCCACAAAATTTCCACACATAGTGTGACTAACAGATCTGATGTGAGCACTGAGTTAATCACAGCATAACATAATCAATTTGTTTAGAAATTAAAGTTTCCATTTTTAAACTGATTTGGTGAAATATGCTTTTGATGGTGTAATTAATTCGTATGCACCTGTGTATTCTAATTTGGAGAATAAAAACAATATTATATATCTTATATTTGAAAAATGGGACAAAATCATTGCAGAAAAACTATGGATTTCCACTGAACACGGAAACAGAGCTTTTGTTCCAATGTCTCATCTCATCTTTCATTAGTCTCGTGTTAAAACTCCTAAACAACCCCAGCTCCAAAATATTAAATGCACATATTCAGCTCCAACATCACAAATTTGAAACAAGTCTTTGAAATCTACAGGGAGCCACAAAGAGTAAGTTAGCTGCTGTTATGCTAATTAACTAAAGGTTGGCTAAAGAAACCCTAACACATTACTGACACAGGTGACTTTTGGTTAAGTTCCAGAACAGCAGCTGCACAGGTAGAAAATGAATGAGCAGGCTTTCAAAGCCGAGGCCTCGTTTGGCTGTGAGACCTTTTGCTCAAGGGCAGAGGAGAAAAGTCAGAGGTGTTTGATCTGAAGACAAGGAGCTTAATTTGAAAACACATGCAGACGGCAGACATCTGAGCGCAGATTCCAGTCAGAGTCACTCCTGAAGAACGGTAGCCTGATGTTTGAGGTCGTCTGAGGGGCTGAACGAGTCGCTCACGCATCACATTCCTCAGCAGTCACGACACACACGTGACTTCAAGGCAGGGCGCAGGACTGCAGCCCACAACTACTACACCGATTCATCCACATGATCCACATGAAGAAAGAGGCTCCGATTTTATCTGTGCATTGTTTTCACACTGATAGAAAAATCAAGAAAGTGGGCAACTACCCAAATGATTTATAAGGGGGGCCTCTAATTCAGAGGTGTCAATCTCAGTTTCATTTCGACCCATATCAAAAATCGGAATGTCCTCGAAGGATGATTTTAATGATAAAACCCACTAAACTGTTAAAACACTATTACATAGCAGTTCCTCTGGGATTTTGTGATTGTTTTTGCAATCAAAATCGCAGTTAGAAATATTTGCAAGAAATTCTGACTATATTTGCATTAATCTATGTTAGCTGTGACTTTTTAATACTCGCCATCTCTATCCCAGACTGCACCTTGGCATCAAGTAAGAGTGAGGCAGTAGTCAATTAAACCCAATGTTTTTGACCTATTTTGAGAAAAATTTGTAGTAAAATACAAAAAAAAAAAAAAAAAAAGAAAGTGATGTTTGTTGATTTTGTGTGAATTTTGCGGATTTTTGAAAAACTGGAGTTACTTATTGGAGTGATTTTGAGTCCGGAGGGCCACATAAAAAGCTACGGTGGGCCAGATTTGGCCCTTGGGCCTTTAGTTTGACACATGCGCTCTAATTGTTTCCCAAAATAGTTTTCAATTATGTTGAACAACTGAAGAGGAAAGAAAACAGAAGGTCCAATTCAAGCAATGATGAGTTTCCGATTTCTCACGTTATTGTTCAATTATTATTATTGTGTTGTGTACTACTGTGCAACTTATACTCAATATAAACATAGCTTATCTGTTGCAAAAGCCTAAACTAAACTCTACACATTACCCTGAACACACCATCCCAAGTTGACAGATGGTGGTGGCAACATAATGCTGTGGGGATTCTTTCTTTAGGTGGAGCAGAGATGATGGTCAGAGGGCAAATGCAGGATAATCCTTGTGGAGAACTTGTTAGTGAACACAGCTTCCAGCAGGAATACAAACCCAAACATAGAACCAGAACCAAAACATATTAATGTCTAAGAATGGTTAAAGTATACATGAGCAAAGCTGTTAGAAAAATACCCCAAAAAGCTGCTATTGTAGGGAACGGTGGGTAAACAATTGGCAAAAGGGAGCGAACTGTCATTTTTCTCCCACTTCATAATGATGCACTACTTTTTGTTTGAAATTTCTCTAAAATGTATTGAATTTGTGGTGGTAACATGACAAAATAGAATAAAATAAAATGAACAACCCCAGATATAAGTACTTTGCAAGACCCCGAAGATGTTTCATCATTATTTTTAGACCTAAAGAGAAATGATCTAGAGTCCATGCACAGCTTCAGTTATTACAGCTAAAAACTAGAGATCAGGCCCGAAACCTGGGAGTAGTGATGGACTCGGACTTGAACCTTGCGAGCCACATAAAGACAATTACAAAGTTGGCCTTCTATCACCTGAAGAACATCTCCAGGATTAGAGGACTAGAGAAACTCATCCATACGTTTATCTTTAGTCGCATTGATTATTGTAACAGCATCTTCACAAATCAATCAAACAGCTGCAGCTGATTCAGAACACTGCTGCTCGCGTTCTCACTGAAACCAGGAAGATGGAGCACATAACACCAGTCTTAAAGTCCCTCCACTTTCTCCCTGTAGCTCAAAGAATAGATTTTAAAATACTGTTGTTAGTTTACAAATCACTGAATGGTTTTAGCACCACATTACATCAAAGATCTGCTGTTGTTGTATTAACCTTCCTGACCTCTCAGGTCTTCTGGTTCTGGTCTGCTTTGCATCCCCAGAACCAGAACCAAGAGAGGAGAAGCAGCTTTCAGCATCTATGCACCAAAAATTTGGAACAAACTTCCAGAAAACTGTAAAACAGCGGAAACCCTGACTTCCTATAAATCTCAACTAAAAACACGCCTGTTTAGAATTGCTTTTGAAATGTAATATGTAACAATGTATTGTTTATTATATGATGTATGACTTTGTGTTTATGATGTAAAGCACTTTGAAATGCCTTGCTGCTATACAAATAAAATTTGATTGATTGATTGATTGATTGATTGATTGATTGATATTGATTGATTGGAGTGTGGAGAGGATTGTAGCAAGTCCTCCAACAGGCTGATGTGCTGTTTCCACAGCCCCCCCCCCTCCTCCTTGGAGCTGATGATGCAACCAAACAGGTTCCTCATGACGCTTTGCTCCACTTGCATTTGCTGTGGTTGCCTAGCGATGGGCTCTTTCTGAAAAATTGAAATCCCATCTTGGGAGCATCAGTGCTCCTCTGCGTCTCTCTGTCTCTTATCTCAAATGGTCAGACAATAATGCATCCCCCGAAGAATGGCTGCAAATAACAAGAAGCAGCATGTGACAAAAGTGGAGTGTGTGTGTGTGTGTGCGTGTGTGTGTGTGTGTGTGTGTGTGTGTGTGTGTGTGTGTGTGTGTGGGTGTGTGTGTGTGTGTGTGTGTGTGTGTGGGGGGGGAACGTAGAGTGGGTGATGGATCTGCAGTCGCATCTTTTGCCAATATCTGTCAGGGAGGCAGCCATCACGCCCGGCTCATCTCCTCTGTTAGGCTTTTGTAGATTTGAACCAACTCCAGGCTGAAAAATGGAGTCAGTGCAAATCAGACTCTCTTTGACTGGATGCTGAGCTGAACGGTAGATCAGGACCACAGATGACTGAGAGGATCCAGCCGTCAGTCAGGCGAGTGCTGGAGGACAGATTCCGTTCGTGGAATCAACCTCCGTCAAGGTCAAAGTAAGACTCTAGCAGCGACGTAGGGATGCCAGGAGAAGTCGACATGAAACTGAACGGGAGGGTTGATCAGCATGAGCGTTAATGTCGCGGCCGAATAACCGGGCTGTTCGTCAGGTGAGGAGCTGAACGCTGCCACTCCTCTCCGTCTATCGATATGACCAAACGCGCCTCGCAAAAACCACAACACACGCACATAAAACAACTAAATGCTGAACAGAAAAATGAGGACATGGAGCACACTAATGATGTGGGTTAGCTCTTACCTTTTTTGCGGTCTGCGGATCGGGTCGGTGTGGCTGCATGAATCCTGGGTGAATGCGTGCTGCGTTCATTCAGCCGCCGCCTCTGCATGCAGCATCTCTGCGCGCTGCGAGGTGCGAACTCAACAGAGAGACTCCAGCCGCGCACAGCACACGGTGCGTAAAGTCTGACGCAGGAGCTCAACGCCAGCCACAAGTTCCCTCGCTTAAAACCGCGATTAACCGGCCGATCGCCTCCGTTTGTCTCACTTCTGCTGTCGGATGAGGTTCCGGATGCTCTTCAAACGACTTTCTCTCACTCGCGCCTCTGATTTTGCACGTGGTTTTGTTGTGGAGCGAAATAATAATAATGATGATGATGATAAAAAAAAGAAAAAGCATTACTATGGAAAGTCACGACGAAGTCTGACGCAGGTTTGACTCATCCTCCCGTGCGCACGTCAGAGACTGATCCAAAAAAAAAAAAAAAACATCTGCAGTGTTCACTGGATGTTAGGATGAAGAGAGGATCGCACAGGTAGTCTTAAACCAGGTGCTTAATCAGTCAAAAAGTTCCCTCCCTCAGAAGAGCTCATGATGTCTGAACGATGTCTTCATGTACCCAACAAGGCAGGCTTGGTGGTCTCCACTATAACAAGCCTGGGTGGTTGCACAACTTAATGGCCGTTTCTCAAGCAGAGATAATATGTGGCAAAGTCATTTTTCTCCCTGACACCAGTTATGTCCTTGACTCTGCACATCCTGCCTCATTTTATTGGACAGATGTCTGCAGGACCCGTTTCACTAAATGTTTTTTTTTTTTTTTTTCCAGAAATAATCACCCACATCATAGTGATCATTATTAACTTCGGTGCTGTCAGTGAATCTTCTCGCAGTCACTGCAACCACATGCACTTTCTAAAGTCTTTTTTTTCCCAATTACAACTAACTCCAGTTTATTTCACTGGAATATTTTGTGATACATCCACACCGAGTGATGAAAAAGGAAAATCACTCCAGACTTGTAGAGCTTTTTTTTTTTTTTTTTTTTTTTTAAAAAAGAAGAAGTCTTACAAAAGTTTGCCTGTTTGTGTTAATCTTTGAAGGCCTCTGAGGTGATAGCTGGTGTAAAAAAAAAAATCCCTAAGTTTGTCAAAAGCCATACAACGGACACAGCAACTATAGAAAGAGGTGCTGTAGTCAGATGAGAACAAATTCGAACTATTTATTTGGTCATTAAAGTACTTGACAGAAGCACTTCTGTCAAGTTGTATGAAACTGGCAGTTTTTCTTTTGGAAGAGGCAAAGAAAGTGGGTGGAGTTGATGGGAGTTTGGATGGAGCTAATTTCAGGAAATCTTGAGACTGTAGTGGAAGATCTGCAGGTCAAGAAGTCAAACACACAGCCAGCGTTATGTCAAATGGTTTAACACATGTTAATGTGATTGGATTTCTTCCAATCCAATGTTCACAGATTTTCTTCATCCCATCTGAGTTGAGCTATTTTGTACAAAGAATTTCTCATGAATTACTTATAAATGTGTCTTGTGTAAAACAATGCCCACATTTCGCCCTGAGAGGACAAGAGGCAATTTATTGAAACATTACTGACCTCAGATTACTTAATGAAAACGGAAAGTGTGCTAAAATGTCACAAAAGCAAAATGTGTTGAAATGCCGAGGGTCTGAGTTTAATATTTGAGCCGAAGCCACAACTGTTTGAGATGAAGAGTAAAGAAGAAGAGTGATAATTTAACATTTGATAAAACAGGAGTTATCATTTTCTTTCGTTATTTAATCTTTTTAGAAGATTAGTGTGCAGATGACATGTCAGATTATTGTTTTCATTTTTGTTTTGTGCTCAGTTACCTTTGCATGCATCACAAGATGCTTCCTAAACACACTCACACACAAACACACACATGCAACCCTGCATGCATGCGTGCATACGAGGTGTGCTTCCTGTCTCCTTCAATTCGCTCATGTGACTCACTTTTCCACAGACTGCCTACTGGGATCAGTTGCCATAGCAACCAGCTGATCATATGATGGTTACTCACTCTTTGAGCTTTTTCTCTTTTTTCGCCACTCCTCTCCTCTTCTCCTTCCTTCCTTCTCCTCTTGAGCATCTTTTTTTACCGCCGTTCGTCTCCGCTGTCGCGAACGAGTCGCTGAACTTAACGGTGCGGCAGCATCATCCGTCCGTCTCGACAAACTCAGCATGCAGTTGGTTCACCCACTGGTGGTTTTGTAGCCCCTGGTGTTTGGGGACTCACAAACTCAATGGTTATCACACCTGGAAAATTATGCAGCGCCAACTCGATGTCCCCTGCCTCCTGTCAAAGCCCGGATTCTGGTGCAGGACTACTCACCTTAGAGCTTCATGGATGTCACACGGGCCCCATTCCTTAAAGTGAAAACCCAGAAATACTAAGACAGGCATTTACACTTCACATTTTATCCTTGAGATGCAGAAAGATTGTCCCAAAGCAACACTAGGACTTCCCATCAGCACATTTTTCATCTCAAACACTGCTTCCTTGACCCAGGTGATTTTATTTGTATTTTTACAATGCTGTCAGGGCGGTTAAAGAAGTAAAGGCGGTGAGATTCTTGGATGCATTCCTAATGTTTCACACTCTGTTAAAGTAGGCCGCAGAATGGAGGGCTAATGAGGCATCAGACTGGGCTGTGATTTGCAGCTCTCCGAAGGACCATTTATCGAGGCTTAGTTCTGTGAAGTCAGACAGCTAAACAGCCTGTAAACAGAGGCTTATCTGAAGTCTTCTCCAGGTACATAATAAATTCAAGTCATGTATTGTCCTCTGAAAGTCTGTTTGACATCATGTATGGGGCCGCACATGTAGAACAGAGCCATGATTTTCAGAGGGAAGGGACATTTTATTTTATAAAAATAAAATGTTTATAAAATGCCTGTTTGAGTCTCAGCCACCTGAAACGCAAGGCCTGAGACTCAAACAGGCAATTTTATCTTACGTCATCAGGTGACAGTCAGTAAAATTGTCAACATGGTCACTTTAGTCAAACTGGACAAACAAATTACATTCTACATATTGGTTCTCAATCATGTTTTTTAATAGTACAACACTTCGCTAAAGCAATAATACCCTTTGAATTGAACTCGTTATTCAAGTCAAGAGACAGGAAAATGGTTTGTGGTTTTTACGTTTTGAATACAAACAAAAATCTGAAACATCGTGATGCATATTTGAATTCAGCTGCCTGTGAGTCAGAGCTTTGTGGATCCACCTTTTGGTACAATGAAAGTCTTTTGGGCCAGGTCTCTACCAACTTTGCTTTGGAGTCAGAGATTTCCATGCTTTTTTTTAGGTGAAGCCAGTGGAGAACACCTGTGAAAATCATTTTTTAAATATTTTCTGGAGGCAATATCGATCAAACAGAATTTTATGCACCGGATTTGAAAGGGCAATACACACCTTTAAGATTTTATTTTGAAAAAAAACAAAAACACCACTTTGTGTTGATCATCAAATTCTGATGAATGCAATGACTTTTGTGGTAACATGGTAAAATGCAAAAAAGTCAAAGGTGAATACCTTCACAAAGCATCAGAATCACATAAGGTGAATGCAGTCATGAAATGTCCTTTGAAAGAATATCTGACATTTAACTTAGGATTGCATAAAGAATCCACTGCTCACTCAGATGGAAAGTTATCCTTCAGCTTAAATGCAATTAAAGAAGGAGTTGTTTTTATGTTTAGTATATATATATATATATATATATATATATATATATATATATATATATATATATATATATATATATATATATATATATATATATATATATATATATATATATATATATATATATATCGCAGATGATACTGCAGGATGTCTCACTCTTCATCTGCGACGTATCAGCCCCGGCCCCCCCCCTGGTCTCAGGAGAACCAGGTTGCCAGGTCACAAATTAAACATGCTGACGAAAACCTACGGGCAAAACCTGTTCCTTGTCTCGAGGGGTGTTTCTGTGCAGCTGAGCCTCGTTGGCTTTTCATGATCCAACTCATTCTCTCTGCTCCCCCTTTAGCCACCTGCTAGTGGCTTGTCCCAGAATCCATCAGTGTGCTGACACCTTGCCCGCTCCCCTCTGGGCGTGTGAGGGCAGTCGCTGGCAAGTCCCATGACTGTTTGCTGGATTCTTCTTGTTGAATGACAACAAAGCTGTAACAGTTCAAACCCGTAGAAATATACAAATGATTTCTTTTAAAAAGCAGGCTGTATTCATCCTCATGTTCAAGGACATCTAAATCATTTGTATTCCATCTCTCTCCATCCTCTACTTCTCTTTAATAGCCCGTCCCGGCTGCACAGCTGACAAGAACCTCATTAGCCGTGGCTAAAGCTGCTCTCCACTTCTTCAGAGAAAGAAATAAACACAAAAGTCACGACCAGGAGAGCAGAGCCATTAGTATTGACACCTTTGATGTATGTGCAGTCACAAAAATCAATGAGGAGAATCAGGAAATAAGATGGCAATGCCTGAAGAAAATGATGATTCAATTTTTCTTCAAACTTGGCTGAAAGATTATTTAAAAGAGATACAAGAATAAGGAACAGCGAAAACAATCTGAACGTAGCTATTATAAATCAATTAAGCCATTGTGGTTCTGAGACCATGTCCCCATATTTACTCAAATAACAAGGCAGAGCTTCACATTATTCTTTATAGTCGTTGTGCTGTGTGGTTATGTATGTTTGAGGACGTGTGGGAAGTAGCAGCTGAAAATAGATCAGAGGACTTATTACGTCAGCAGGATTACCACATCAATGAATCTGTTTTTCTTAAATATACCATTTCCATGTGTTGTTGTTGTGCGCGTCAATCAGCATCATTGGCCAAACAATCGATGGCAAGCGTTCTAAAATTTGACAGAAATCTTGTTAGTTCAAAATGCCAATTCTTCTGTTTGTGTCTTTTCACTTTAAATGGCATTTAGGCTCCTATGAAGAGGGATTAGATATTCCACTGGCAACAATTATGTGAAACACAGCTAACGGCAAAGTTCAAGAAAATGAACTTAATGAAAACTAATCGCCTCCACAAATGGATCCACTTTCCGTCACCACATCATTACACGCTTCAAAAAGAGAAATTCAGCAGTTGTTGGTGAAACCTTCGAGGGGTTTGGATGTTTCTGCACAGTAAATCAGAGCCACCTGGCTTGGTGTTATGAAGGGCATCAAAAAGCCACTACTCCACCTGACATTTTGCAGGTAGAACAGCAGGTGACTGGAGCAAAGTTGTTTTCTGTCCAAATCAAATAAAATTGCTTATTTGAGAAGAAAAGGTAAACGTCACCATGTGTTTTGCATGCGCACATCCAGAAATCAGTCAAGTTTTAATCACTGCCGATAAGAAAAGCAAATAATTTTATCTTGAATGTATC